ATATAGCTTAAAGTTGGTAATAAAATTTTAATAACTAATTCAACAACAAAAAAAAAAAAAAAAAAAAAAAAAAAAAAAAAATGAAGAATTCATAAATAATCAGTCGAACACAAAGAATTCATGCTTCATATTCGAAATGATATTATTGTAAGATATCAGTGAGATTCATCTTTGTTTCTTTTTTAACAGCTCAAATATATGCAATTATTTCCTGCATTATTCTCTTTTTTTCGTTTATCCGATCGGCGGGTGTGACCGGTCGACAGGGGATGCTTACTCGTCCATGTCACTTGATCCCACCTCTGATACTTTTAAAGGCCCGTGTTAGTTCTGCTCCCAATTTTTATTGTTCCGATTGACTTTTGAGCTTGAAAACTGTTTGTTGTCTCCATATTCATACACTGAATTTCTCTGAGCAGAAGATACTTATTAATGTTAACCTGTGTTTTAAATCCTTGAAGTAAACAGATATTGATTAATTATCATCTCTTAATAAGTGAAATAACTAAATTAGAATCGCTGAGGTCTCACGCTTATGGATCTAACCGGTCGAAACAAATATTTCAAAGAATTTTCAAAATTATAAATATACTTTGCTCCATGCATAATTGCCATTGGTTGACATAAAAATGGTATGGTTATAATTAAATGTGTTCTACAAATAAAAAAGAAAATAATGATAAAAAGAAGCACCAACAGATTTTAGAATATAAAAAAAAATATTTGCCACTTGTTTCTTATACAGAGATTATGATTTTTGCTTTGAGCATTTTGTGCCTTAAATCTAATTTTGAAGTACCATTTTTTTAAATGATATTTTTAAAGTTATATTTATGCACTACTGTTTTAAAAAATATGATGCATTTATTATGAGATTTTAACATTTTGTGGTATTTTTTAATTAACCATTCAGATCCTTGGAATAATAAAACCCAGGAAATAAACTACTTTCTAAAAATAAATATGTTTACATCGTTTCCCAAAAATATCAGCAAATCTTGGGAAAACAGTCAAAAAATACAGATGCAAAGAAATTAGAGTTACCATTGCAATATGATAATGCAATATTTTCTTTATGTTGCGTATCACGTATTGCAAATAATAAGATTTTAAGACTATCAGTATGATTTTTCAGGCTTTTATGTAAATTGTTACGTTTAAATAAAAATAAGTGTTTCATCATCATTCAGAGATAGAAAATTTTCTAAAACATGGAAATACCCAGAATGTTGGCTGGTTGCCAATCCAGTTTAGACTCTTAGTAATCGACAAGATTAATTCAACACTCTTTGCACGAAAATGTTTCCTGCTAGAAATAGAAATCCGTGGCTTTTAAAGTGAGGTCAACAATCTTTGCATCAAACTAACAACTTGAAATGCTTTCTATCCTATTAGGCTGACATGAATACTGTTGGTGATCATTATTAACAAATGAAATAAATTACAGAATCTGTAGGAAAGAAAGCGTTGGCATTTTAATGATGCATCTTCCTGAATTTGCTTTAAATAGAATTTAAAATAGCTTGAAATGGCTACAAGGTTGCATCGTATAAAACAATGTCTTGATACATAATAAAAAGTCAAAAAGCACTAAAGTTTGAAGAAGGGGTCACTTATTATGTTCTAAACTGCAAGTAATATCACCGATTTTGTTTTAGAGATCTTTATGTATATTTTCTTTCAAATTTCCTCCTTAAGTAAATGCATGATTTTAAGGTTTTGCTATATACAATCATGTAGTTTTATTTTCTTATTCAGTGGTTCAGCAAAGAAATGACCGTCATATTTCCAAATATTCCTTTGATGACTATTTACATTAATAAATAAAACTTTCTAGTCTGTGTCCTGCGAGAAAGGCAAATTAAGTAAGTTTGATAGAGGCTCGGCTCTTAGATATGTACATTACAATACTAAGAGTACTCTAATTTGTAAGATTAAAGACCGGTGTACCTTCTGAATGCTATTATGCCAGGGTGTACGAGTTTACTGAATGTTGTTAATATATATACATACAAGACTATTTTACATAGAATTTCAAATTGAAATACCAATATCAAGAATTGATATAAAAAGTTTCTAAACGCTGTAGGTTTAAAAATACAATAAAATACAGATGGAATTTTGATAATGCTCTAAAAGAATAATCTTACGCTGATTTTTACAGAGGTTTGTTAGTATCAATACAAATATTTACAAAATGATAATCCATTTATTTTCTTAACTACATTTTTGATAGAACATACACCAAAATGAATAAAATACACCAAACCGAATAAACAAAAGACAATAAATAAGTATATCAACATCTGTTTTTATTCTTAACTCTAGCGTTGCCATTATCATTACATGTAATATCAAGTGCAAGAAAACAAGAAATATCTTTCAATAAATGCGTCTAAGTACATATTTCATTTAGGACCGACGTTTCATAAATATCGTATAAACCTCGATATCAGTAAAAAAGATGAATTCATTGTGTTTATTTCATTCTCAACTTAAATTAAACGAAGATCTTAAAATATTTCTGTTTATAACCAGAAGACGGGCAAGGCTTCCTGGTATTTTCAAAACGTCTTCAAGAAGAGGAAGGAGTATTTATAGAATACAGTTGAATTCTATTGTGTTTGTAAGATATTTCACGCAATGAAATAAAATTTTCTATTTTTAAAAAATCTATCATTCATTATATCCTCATGTAGTAGGTTAGGTCATTCATTTTTTGCTTTTTATAACAAATGGAATATTTTACGAACTTGATCAAGCATATATGAATGACCATTCTTTTCACAAACATATTCATTTTCATAGGTGAACGTATGACCTGGTACTTTCCAGCCAGGCATTTTTAAAAGGCTTCATAAAAGCTATGTCTGGGAGAGGATATCATCATAGCCTTTCAAAATTGAAATACATTACTTATGTCTATATTCAAACTATTAATTTACTCTAATCAAACAAACAAGAAGTGTCAAACTGTGCAGTATTGCTTAATATAGTTTAAGTAGTGAATCCTGAGTGCGGAATTACCAAATTGTAGTTAATGACGATGTGAATATATTTCTAAGAATTTTGAAAAGATATCACGTCTTATGTAAACCTTAATTCGTCTATACTTAAATCTAGAATTAAATTTAGCTCTACTTCATTGAATATCAAATCAAACTCTTCTTGTGTTTAAGTCTTATTTTTAAAAAAAAATCCAATCTTGGTCACAATGAATTTCAATCCCGATCTAAATTAAACTACACATCACTCTAGATTTTCTAATGGACATACACATAACTTGAAGACATGACCATTAATAAATATAATCTTGCGTAATACCGATTTTCATTCAACCAATTTAATGTAATGTGAAATAGATCACGAAATTCTATTATTGCAAAATCCCTTGTTTTCGTGGGGGTGTTTATTTTTGTTGTTTTTGAGGTATGAGGAGACCCACGAATTCATTTCCGCAAAGAAATGCAAAACCCATATACAAAATTACTCAACAATTCTTCATCCACGAAATCAAATTCCCTCAAACCAAGAAAATTTGCCTCCATGAAAATATGTAAATTTCGTTGTAGCAACCGCTCGAGATAATAGAAAAGACAATGTAGCTTTGAATAGACAACGTCGCATTGAATAGAAAATGTCGCAATGAATAGACAATGTAGCATTGAATAAACAATGTAGCATCAATAAAGGAAACGAGGTAGGTGCAAATAGATGGCTTCGAATACATGTATCAGTGATACAAATTCATATCGAAATCAAATTTTCTATTTTTTATAATAAACATAATATCAATACATCGTAAAACCGTCATGAAAATAAGGTTCTATTTTGTCTATATTCAATAAAATATGTTTCTAAGCATTTATTTTTTAAGATAATAATAAAAAATTTCAGACCGCCCACAAGTCTTCCAAAATGAAACTCTTTGGGTGTTTTCAATGAATTTTTTTATAAAAAAAATAAAAGAATACAAGAATCGGTCATAAACCCAAAATAGTGATGTTTTATTTATAGTTTGTGCGTTTTTAACACCTTAAAGGGACATCTGTAATTTTGTTCTGTTTAAAAATTTTGAAATTCTCTATCTTAAAAATTACTCCAATTTATTGAATTGAATTTACATGAACATTTAAATATTGAACGACAACGACATTCTTCATAATTGTACAACTTAAACTTGTGTTTGTAAAAATTACTCGAGCTCTGTTATTATTATTTTTTTTTGGTTTACATTTTCCGGTTTTGCTCAAATAGCTACTAATGCACACAATTAATTCTAATTTCTTGTATTTCCATTCTGAAATTTCTAGATTTAAATTTCCTATCTTTTATTCATATACCACAGATTTTTTTATGTTTCTAAATATTTGTACATAAAAATGTAAGGCGGACGACAATCGACGATAATTTTCAGATACAAAAGTTTCTGAACACTCTTTTATAATATATTGGCCTGAAACGCTCTCACAACTTGTACATTATGAAATTCTACCAAAAATTTAAAAGTACATTGTATAGAAATCTCAAAACTGTGTTTATATCCCTTTAATTAAGTTGGGTGAAGTTTCATTACAACAATGGATCTTAAAGAAAACCATCGTTCTAAATCATTTTTGTAATTATTTACAAATTAAGATTATAAACTATGTATACTACCGTATAAGCAGAAACTTTAGCGAGGATTCAATTCTGGAATATTTAGCAAGGGCCTTGAGTTCACTCATATTGAATATCGCTAACAATTCATTTCACATGAGATTTATCCGCTTTCTTTCTAGACATAATAAAATCGTTAAAATCATTCCTCCCTAAAATTTAATACTTATTTTTTATACTTATTTTTTTAAAGAGCAAATCACTGTGTATATTTGTGCCTCGCTAAAAATTCCACTTATGCGGGTATGTAAAGAACTTAAATTGGTTTAGTATATTACAAAAAAAGTCTAAATATATGGTACATTAAGAATGTTTTACAAATACCGTTTATATGTTCTGGAAAGGACTATAAATGCTCACAGCAATAGAAGTCCCACGAATCCCGCCAGCAAATGTTTGCCCAAGGCCACAATTCCTCTACAGATTACGCGACTAAGGGGGCTGTTTCTTCTCGAGAGTTCTCTCCTGGCCACTGATCTTGGATGTCCCTTATTTTGTTTTTTGGATAACCTGGCCTTTAGACTTTGGATTTCTTTCTGTTGTTTTTCAATCATTTTTAAGTCATTTGACTTTATTTTTTCCATCTCTCGGCATAAAAAGTTGACTTCCTTTTCCATTGTCTTACCCTCTGAGCTGCTTCTTGATATTCTTCTGAAATTCCTACTTCCGTCTCCTCCTTTGCCTGCTTTTTCAAGTTCTCCGAGTCTTCTTTCAATGTCTCTTATTCGCCATTCCTTGGATTTTTTTTCCTTCTGAATATGTTCTTCTCTTATTTTCAGAACACTCATTTCATTCTTATTCTTTTTCTCATCATTTATTATTTCTTCTTCTCTCTTTTTCATCATTTTCTCAGCCTCAGTATATAATTTGTTCGTATAATAGCTAATGTTACCATTTTCCTCTACAATTTTTCCGATCACTCCAAGAAGGGTTTGAACCTGTTTATGTGCTTCGGATCCGGTCAAGGTGTTATCAAACCAACATGCTCTGTATTGACATTTACTTAAAAACGCTTTGAAGCTTGGAGATAAGTTTGCAAGGTATTTAGACGGTGGAGTAGAGCATCTCCTTAAATCATCATACCTGGTAAAGATGACCATCATGTAGTCAAAGACTCGCTCCCCAAATTTTTCAACAAACTGATTGATCGAATCCTCCTCTTCCTTGGTAAATCTGGAAAGTACATTGAAAACATAGATAAAAATGTGAGGGCCAGGAGCAGAGAGCGCCAAACATCGGGTCACTTCTGCCATGATGACATCGTTGGATGTACTAGTATCAAAGGACCCTGGGGTGTCTACAATGCTCAGATCTTGATCAAAACGACAAGTTTCTGCATACTGGCAGGTCTTAGTGACTGAAGATTCTGACACACGCGATCCAAAAATGTCTTCACCACAAATTGAATTTCCTGTTGAGCTTTTCCCAGACCCAGTTTTTCCCAAGAGAACAAGGCGGTACTCAGAACCAGTTTTTGTTCCTAAAAAGAAACATCTTACATGATCGTGTATACACAATTGGATTTTTTTCCCCTCATAAAACTGCTAATAAATATAACAGTAGAGTAAACTTTGACCTGATGAATGATCGACATAAGTTTTACCATTTGAGAATTCCTCCATATTTGACAAGGATTACAAAATGGTAACCGGTAGTTTCTTGCCTTGTCTGTCCCTTGGCTACCTTATCATCGTATACACTGACTGATCCTCTGTCTTCGTTATAAATATAAGTTATGTTATTATCCACATCAGCTGGAACTTATCTTCCACCAGACGTTTTTAATTCCGTGTTTACTTCCTTGATGCATATATACATTTCCAAGCCTTACTATTTTCTTCCTGTTTTGATTAAATTTTAGGAATTCGTGTCCCTATTTTAAATAGTTCGCGCTCAGAATTATATAGAGCACTTTACTCATGTATATGACTGATTTCATAATAACTTATTTTGATCATTTTTTTCCTTTTGCAATGCCATTTCAAGGACTTGATATTTTTCTACATCGAAATTAATGAGCCAAGAAATGTATCAAAGGTATACTGCATCACTAAATCAAATATAGGCTTTGGTTTAAGGAAACACTGTACTCATGTGACATGTTATTTTTTTCATTACAATTTTTTTTATGATTCATTATTTCATGAAAATAAAAAGATTTCACGTACATATATTTTTGTAATATAAGAAATAATTGATGAAGATGGGCAAACAAGGCTTGCAGATTGCCTATAGCTTCAGATATATAAAAATCTCAAAAATATTCAATTTGTGAATTTAGTATTCACAGTAAAGTTCTTAATATTGAAATATGAAATTTTGACAAACAAAACTTTTCTGCATAAAATTTTCTCGGAAAAAATTTTTCTGTTATTAATGTGGTATTCTTGGAGTTCGAACCCTAGCAATAAAAATCCTGAATATCATTTTCCTTTGAGATTAACACGCTAATAACTATCCTACACAACTTCTAGTAAATTTTGGCATTTAAATCATGTTTGTAATACATCCCGTGACTAAATGGACCAAATATTTCTCGGAAATATATGAATACTGTGTCATAAAAGTGTAATTTTAAGAAGAGATTTGGAGGCAACAACAAAAATAATTATTAACCTTCAGAAAATCTTACCGGTAAGTATTCATGAGGGGAAAATCATGATTACAATATAATCATCCAATAGCATTCTTATTAAGCATATATAGCCTCGCGGTTTATAAAGCCTAATTAAACTGCCCCAACCAAGTTTATACCGTATAAATTGGGTATAGCTATTAAATTCATTCTTTAATATAAAAAACCTGTTGGCAGCTACGTCCATAAAAAAAACAAGCAGGAATACAAGAGATTTGGAGGCAACAACAAAAATAATTATTAACCTTCAGAAAATCTTACCGGTAAGTATTCATGAGGGGAAAATCATGATTACAATATAATCATCCAATAAAATAGGTATTGATATAGTAAATTTTCAAATTGTGTAAATAATTATTGTCATTCATAATCATAAAAAACAATACCGGTAAATGTACCCTAACCTCGAGGAAGAGATTTTCGTATTACATTTTGAAACACAGTATTTTTCAGTTCCACGTATATCATAAATTCTGCCTAAATATTCTAATCTGAGAAACAAAATCGGATTTGGTAATTTAATCGTAAACGAGTATATTCTATTTAACATTGCATGCGTTACACACTGATATAATCCCTTTATCATTCACATCCGGAACTGTGACAAAAAATAAACGGCTTAAATTTGCTGTCTTTATGCTTGGAACACATTTTACTTTGATAAACACTCTGTATAAATGTTTTATTTCCCTTGTTTTTATTGTTATAACTATTACACTTTTGAAGAAATAGCTGCTTGTCGAAAACAAACATGTTGACCATGCAGTCTTCGTGATTAGGTTTGTTGTAGACATAATTGGTTTGTCTTATCCCAGTTCCCATTAACATAAAATGGTTTAGAAATTGAATATTACACAGTCCGACAAAAAAAAAATCTTTCGTAAATCACTTGTATTTTTTAAACAACAACAGAAATACTAAAATTGCCCTTTATATGATTCTGATTATGCTTCCAATAACATTTCTCCAAACTCCTCTGTGACGGCTTCCCATTGTGAGATCCTATTGTGATATGTTATAGATTGAATACTGTCATTTTACATTTTGGATTTATGTATCTTGACAAGATCCATAACTAAATCTGCTGCATCTTTGGCACAACCCCAGAATATTGTCAGGCCAGCTCCAGCATGGCCGTAGTTATGGATAATCTTTAAAAGAAAAAACGTGTACGTGAGAGAGAGAGAGATAACTTTTTTTGGTGTTATGTGATAGCTGCTTTTGTTGCAATTTATATAAACTTTCTGCAGCTGTTCCTATCTGATTCAACATTGTGTATTCAGCTTAAAGATTTCAATCATAAGGCTTTATAATTCATAAAACTTAAATCTACGTTATTTTCGTTTTAGCTTTATAATTTTTTTTAAAGAAATTTGAATTTTTAATGAGAGTCATTCACCTCGTTAGCTTTATAGAATAACAAAATGAGGAACAGAGGATAAAAAAACCCTACCTCTTCGAGTGTTGGTTTATAAATAAAATTATCTATAAATACCTACCTTGGTCTTGGAAGGGTTTGTGTTTCTGTCGATTTCTAGCCGTACTGATTCACGATACGGACGGAGTCCAGCCCAAGTACCTAACCGTTTACTGTCCTGAAATTATAAAAAAGGGACGTGATCCTTGAGGTACAATCATCTTAAGTATTATGAATGTGATATGACCCTTCGGGAAAAAACATCTCAACTTTACTGTCCTGAAATTATGAAATGGTATGTGATCCTTCAGGTACAAACACCTCAACTTTTACCTTCCTGAAATCATGAAGTGGGATGTGAACCTATGGGTACAAATACCTTAAGGTTCACAGGGTATATATATATATATATATATATATATATATATATATATATATATATATATATATATATATATATATATATATATATATATATATATATATATATATATTATTCTCGTATAATTGTTTTGCCCGACACTGTTCTCTAAAATTTAAAATAAACATAAGTGTCTACAACGTTTTGACCATTTTGCACATGAAGTGAGTTAAAATAATCTATTTGTTCTATATAATTCTAGTTTCCGTTTTGTCAAAATTAATCGTAATATAGTTAAAAAAAAAATTTTGCTCATTAAAGACTAGTCAAAATTTATCGAAGCATGGACAGGTGCAAACTGGAAAATTAACTTTTAAAATATTAACATGTTTGGTAAAAATTTCTCTACCTTGCAAAAAAGTTGATGTTCCCTGCTATTTAAATGGTGCGTAACATATGCTTTTAACTTTACTTCCTATTACAATTTTCAACAACAGAGTTTACATGTGCAATACAACCGATAGATATTGACAATTGTCAAACTTAAACAAGCCTCAAAGAGCATTAGTCTACGCATGCAGATACACGTATATTTATCATTAACAGAGGCATGTAAATACAATGATGTAATAGAAATGAATAAAATCTTCGAGAAAGGACGTATGGTTAAATGTTTATATGTTCTTTGGGGGTAAATGTTTATAGTTATATACCTTTAGGCTTGGCATGACTTTTAGACATCTTTCCATAATGCCTTCAATGTCTGCCGGGTCATCCTCTGTATTCCAGTCACCATCTTGTGCAGTACCACCTAGTACCACTGTATCTATTCTAAAATATTAATCAAAAGCTAATACTACCATATCTATCCTTAGAAAACCATTCATAACACTACCGTATTTATCCTCAAAGAAATCATAACACTACCCTATCTATCCTCTAACAAATCATAACACTACCGTATCTATCCTCTAACCAATCATAACACTACCGTATCTATCCTCAAACCAATCATAACACTACCGTATCTATCCTCAAAGAAATCATAACACTACCGTATCTATCCTCTAACAAATCATAACACTACCGTATCTATCCTAAAACCTATCATAACACTACCGTATATATCCTCAAAGCAATCATAACACTACCGTATCTATCCTAAAACCTATCATAACACTACCGTATATATCCTCAAAACAATCATAACACTACCGTATATATCCTCAAAACAATCATAACACTACCGTATCTATCCTCAAAACAATCATAACACTACCGTATCTATCCTCAAAGAAATCATAACACTACCCTATCTATCCTCTAACCAATCATAACACTACCGTATCTATCCTCTAACCAATCATAACACTACCGTATCTATCCTCAAACCAATCATAACACTACCGTATCTATCCTCAAACCTATCAGGATAACACTACCGTATCTATCCTCAAACCTATAATAACACTACCGTATCTATCCTAAAACCAATCATAACACTACTGTATCTATATCCTCAAACCAATCATAACACTACCGTATCTATCCTCAAACCTATCAGGATAACACTACCGTATCTATCCTAAAACCTATAATAACACTACCGTATCTATCCTCAAACCAATCGTAACACTACCGTATCTATCCTAAAACCTATCATAACACTACCGTATATATCCTCAAACCTATCATAAAACTACCGTATGATAACACTATCCTCAAAACCTATCATAGCACTACACATCATTATATTACTGTATTTATCCTCAAACCAATCATTATGATAGCACTACCGCTTCAATCCTCAATCCATTTAAGCATAAAATTACCGTATCTCTTCTCAAAACAATCACAAAACTATCGTATTTCAATCCTCAATTCAATCAGAACACTACCGTATCAATATAATACCTAATAACACTACAATATATATCTTTAATAACAATCAAAATATCTTCACTAAGAATAATCCTATTATTTAAGAGATGAATTTAATTTTTGAGAATTCATGAGGATATATGAACTATGAAGCTTCACGCGTACGACTGCATATTAAATTTTCATGAAGCGCGTTAGCGCTTCATGATAAATATGCAGGCGTGAAGCGTTGTAGTTCATGTGCCTCATGAATTCTCAAATATTATGTTCATATCTTATATTTACATTATCTGTTTGATGACTTGCCACATATTTTTGTCATTCAACGATCATTTTTGAAAAAAAAAGTTTGCACTATTTTTTTTTTACTTCAATCACATCAAAATGGAAATATTCTTACTCATCCCACGGTAGTTCATGAGAACATGAACTTTTTCTAATTTGCAAAGAATCTTATGGAAAAATATTTGGAAATGCAAATATATATTTCTATAGAATCATCAAAATTAGGTATTTAATAATTACGATATAATTAGTTAATTAAATGCCTACATGTAGGGCATGTACACAAGATATTATACTTTCACGAAAGAACGCCAGGAAACAGCGAAATTTGAAAATGTAAAAACTATTTGGAGATCAATCAAAAGATATTTTTCTATAAATACCATTTCATATCAAACAATGCACGGTTGAAACAAGATTAGAACATATTTTCCATGCAAAATAATCAAATACTTACCCAGGCAGTATATAAGTGACGTCATCATTTTTATCTATGTCAATGTAGAAGTGCTTAATCCAAGGAGCTCTTACCTGAAATTAATCAGCTTTTCTAGAATTATACTTTTCATTATTGGTAATGCTTTATTTTGTCATTTTTGGTATCAGGCGGTACCTTACCTCAAAATCAGGCAGCGAGTTTACATATTAAAGAAAATTTCTCAAATTTTGTAACTTATTTACATGTATGTAAACCTCAATTTTAACTCACCTCACAAGTTATTCATGATTTTTTGTGTATTTCTGATATATATACTTTAAAAACTGTAAATAAATCAGTGGACAAGGAAACTATATATGGCAATACCCGGATTACTTGACCTCTTTTAGGTTTGACTTTTGTATCGTTAAGTAATTCAGCAGAACCAATACCAGTGCAGTTAACAATGATGTCATAAGAGGATTCGATCTGTAGGGAAAAAGTTTTGATGTCAATTAAAATTAACAAAGTGATGAGTGCATACATGTATCGTGCTAAGGTAAAACGTATGATTGAATATAAAATCTAGAAAAGAAGCGAAAATTGACAGAACTACAGCTCTTTAGGAAATTTGGACAGATAGGACTGTCAATCGCATCTTCTCGGTCCTTTCCTGCAAGCTCGTTGTTTATCCTCCTGCCGGAAAGGCCAAAGAAGTTGCAACTGACATACCAGTATGCTATCTGTCCATAACGTCTTTCACTGAGAACTTCTGTTCTGAAAAGCTAGAAATGACATACAATATAAAGTATGAAATGACACATAATATAAATTATAAAATGACATACAATTAATATCAAAAATTGACATAAAATAAATTATAAAATTAGGGAAGCCCAACCTATCAAAAAATTATTATAACAGATTAAATTCTTTATAACGAATTTTAAAAATTGTTATAACAAATTTATTCGTTTAAACAAATTCTAAAGTTTGTATTAACGAATTAAATTCATTTAATCAAATTCAACAATTATGGTCTATACTATATTATACATGAATTCGACATAACGAATGGCTGAATTTGTTAAAACGAATTAAATTCGTTATAACAAATTAAGGATTCTTTTCAATGAATTTAATTCGATATACATGTAACAAATTTTAGAATTCATTAAAGCGAGTTTAATTCGTTATAACATTTTTTTGAATTCGTTATAACACATTCAAGAAATTTGTTATTATAAATATAACAAGTTTAATTCGTCATAGCGAATTCAAAGAAATTGATAAAACGAATTTAATTCGTTATATCAATTTCGACAATTCATTATATCGAACTTATAAGTATTTTTGATAGGTCCTACTTGGGCTTTTGTATAAAATACCTCTTGTAAGGATCCTAATTTTTTTGAAATCACAAATCCACCTTGCTCCCTGAATCTGAAATTTTCATTAATTAAAATATAAAAGAAATTATACACAAAAATATTTTTTTTTTTGCAATCAAAAAATAAAATGCTGACAGAATACACAACAGCATCACAATACTCACTTTCTCATGAATGAAGAGAGTAGACTAGGGACATCAAGAGTAAAAGCTGTATAGAAAATGCCAAACCTGATAAAAAAAATCAAAATTCTAATCTCTAAAGTAAAACAATTAATTTTGTGTGAATTAGACCTAGATACATGCGTCCAAAAGCTACCCATGGGAAGAAATTCTGTGGATTTTCTCCGGTGTTGCTTTAGACTGAATTCAATCAAAGCGCAATTAACGCTAATCTTTATATTACCCATGAGAGTGATGCGAGACAAATGATGGCAGCACTGTTGAGGGAAGGATCCAACATTTTTTTCAGATTTAAAATTAAAGCTTTAAAAGAACAATATAATATAAGGCCTTTCATTGGGGGGGGGGGGGGGGGGGGATTTCAATTTCCTATGTGCTCAATAATAATAACGAGTTTAAAATGAAACATATAATTATAGAAAATAAACGAGTAAACGATAAACAAATTAAAAATAAAAAGGAAATTAAATTCCATGTTTGAGTTTGTAACCCTTTTTTTTTTTCCTAGAAAGTATAAGCGTATCATAGGTTACTAATTTTACCCCTTTTCATTGACCACGCAAGTAGTGCCATATAAAAACACAGGTTTTTTCATAAATATGTCTTCGGATGTATACGGGGTGGAATGGGCTGATTTTAGGGCATAGATGGGAAGGAGAGTGTCTGGGGGAAAAGAATTAAAATTTCAAATATTGAGAAATATTGCCTTTGAATGCGTAGTAGGAAGGGTGTAAATAGGCCATGTTTACCTTCTTCTCAAGGGGTAAGTTAAATATGCAGGGTATGGGGTAACTCACGGTGTCTTAGAGGGACTTGTACACTATAGATTCTCCTTAGATGTAAAAATATTTTAAGGCTATAATAAAAAAGAAATCGCTAAATTTCAAGATAAATTTAATTAATTCTAAATAAAATTTAAATAAATTCCACATGCAAAAAGGTAGAAGAACGCGTGGTAGCAAAATCATATTGAGCATATTAAAGGAAATAAATGCTATAATTATCAATGACATCCGAGGAAAATATTTGTAAAAGTATTTTTTTTTTTAGATCCACCTCTACAAGATTCTGCAATAAATTGACTCGAATCACTCTTAGGGGAATATCGGTGATTAGCGTTAATAGCACTTGTATTGAGTTCAGCTCATAGCTAAACCGGACGGGATTTCTTGGGATGTTGATATACATGTACAGACTCGTTATCCTTTAATTCCTGTGAAAAAAAAAAGCATATTAGGTGTTATTAACATCTGATACTGAAATTTACCCACTCTTTCCCGGGATAAAGTTTCAGTTCCTCTTCTCCAAGACGTCTAAACCCTAACACGTCCTTACACCAAGGGGGGTCCTAAAATTCAACTATTATCAGTCGTATACACGTAGAGACTTTACATATGTCAGGAATTTGATATTCCGAACTTTGATTCATAACCATTTCTTCTGATCAATCAACAACCGTTCATTTATACTTTAAACTGTTAAAGAGAAAAAGTATTTTTATTTAAGAGATGATGACATTTACCGTTTTCACTTCCTGACAAAAGTTAAAACCTGAGATAAGCTGAACACCGTATCTATAGGCATCTTCTGATCGGAACTTCTCCAGCAAGTACGTGTACGTCTCCATACTCCATCGTCTATAATTGATCAATTTTAGGTCAGTACATAAATTGGACTCGTTTAACTACAATGTTATGTGTATTAGTTATCCCCCACCACTTAATTAGCTATACTTTTTAACGTTAGCTTATGATTGTTTTACGTTTGAACATTTATTAATAAATTAATACTATTTTGTAAATGCAGGCATGTATAAATATATACGTGGGTGAGCTACCAGGAACTCAAACGAACCAGTTTTTGTAAGGATCACTTTGAGCTGAAGTGGAAGCATTCAATTTTGAGTACACATCAAAATACACCGGTCAGCAATTTTCCCAACAACTAAGGCAATTTTTTTTCCAGTTTCGCCTATATGATTACCATATATTTTATAAATATTTATATTTCCTGATGCTGGAACGATAAATAAATCTTTAGCTCTGAAGAGTCAGTGTTCACATTCATACAAGCTATGGAGATATACGTGTATTTTGGTCACCAAAACTGCGTATATATGTACACTGATGTATTTGTCAATGTTGGCAGGAGATATATTTTATACAGTTTAAAATGTAAACAGCTTATAGAAAGTCTTTATATCTAGGGGTTTATGGAATTTACCGTGTAACAGGAAAGGAGAGATATGCGATGGGCCAGACCAATATTCGAACAAGCCCCCCCTCCCCCCCCCGAATCTCCGGTCAGGTGCTCTACCAACTGAGTTATATGGCCACCGGCGATCGAAGCCGTCTGACTACCACATTCCTTCCTCCGTAAAAGTATCCCCCCCCCCCCTGATCATACCAATCCAGGCTCTTCCCTGACAGGTTTTCCCTTTTCACTGCAATCTTAACATGCTTAAGGTACCAAATGTAACAAGAAAGGACGGAAATGCCACGGACCAGACCTAGATTCTAACCCGTACCTCCGGTCCCTAATCTCCAGTCAGGTGCTCTACCAACTGAGCTATCTGGCCATCGGCGATTCTCAAACGCTCCAAACTAGACTGTGATGTCTTCAATATTAATTAAGCAACTCACGTGACCATCTCTATTTGGTCCTCTGGAACCAGAAAAGGTGTCCATAGACCGGCGGATCCATCAGAGGTGGTACTAGGTGAGAACTTGTCAGCAATTAGGTTGACGTCACAGTTCCGTATCCGGTCCTGTATACAGAGAGCCGTTGAGAGTCCGATAGCTCCGGCGCCCACTACGGCAATCTTAATAGGCTTCATGTCCTCCTCGTCACTGTATACAGACCAAAAAAAAAAAAAAAAAAAAAAAACATGCAGCATGCATTCAAGAAGTTTCTTCTTTTTTACTAATTAACATAAGGTACGTGTAATTTAAGTTCCATATTGTCGTGATAACAACGATGATAAAGATGGTACTAGTAATGTTCGAATTATTTGCTCTACATAGTGACACTGTGTCTCTCGGTTAGTTGATGCAGTTAATTAGCAAAGCGAGTCAAAATATTTACGTATATACATCATTATGTGGTATGAAAAGACAGCACATCAAAATTCATTTTAAAATGAAACAGAGTTTGAGACAAAGTAATTGTAAGAAGTGAAAGAAATAACTAATGTATATAATTGCAGTATGAAAAATTGTTAGACGTGAAGGGAATAACAGTATGAATCGGTGAAGCAAGTACCTATTGCAAATCTTTATAAAATATATATTTTTAAAAAAACTGAAATATACTTGTATGAATGATTTTTATAATATACTATTTAAAGCCTTTTTAAATTTAAATGGAGGTCTTAATGATACACTGAAGCAAAACGTAGAAGTCATTATATATCAACCATGCTAGTTACACTGCGTGATAAGTGGAATTCCTCAGAGCACAAAGGCTACATTATGACCGGTTCTCAAAACATTTTTAAAGAAGAAGTGAGAGAGAACATCAAACTGAAAAAAAAAAATCAGAATTAGATAAACCAAGTATAAAGAAAAATGTTACAATTTTAAAGAAGGACACAAAGTGCACAGACTTCAAAAGTGCAAATAAATCGATGAAAATCCTTACGCAACACTCCATTTCGATTTTTGAATTTTCGATGGAATAGAGTACCAATTCTTGTCGATAAACTCGATTGAGTTCGATCGAAAATAACGAAACATCAATCGAATCATATCGGAGATCTACAAAAGTTAGATCTTAGCTTTAACTTTAACATTCCACCCGTAATGATTTTTCATTGCTGATTACTCAACACTTAACTGATTGTAAAGTTTTTTAAAATTAAACAACAAAAGTTTTAGCAAAGTAGAAACATCACTCGATTCATATCCCACCCGATAAAATAAGAATACACAGACTTGGTTGAATTCCCCATACATATGATACAAGACAAACATATCTCTATATCCTTGTTACACTAGTAGAAAATTAGTGTATATGTTAATAATTTTATATATACCAGAGCCATAAATAATATAAAATGCCTAAAGAATATTATGTCTTTTATTTACATACCTCATGTCTGAGAATCAAACCATATTACTCGTGAAATCTACTTGTCTTTTTAGGACTTCAGATTTCAAAACTTAAAACGAAAGTAAGTCTATTTATATATATTTAATACGCCAAATACTCAAATACGAATACAAAAATTTAAATGTACATTTATACATGATTGCATACTTGAGTTATCCTTTCCTTATTTCAAATGCAAATAATAAAAACCATAGTTCTAAATATATATATATTACATGGACAGATCTTGTTTAAAAGCCGAATCACAGACAAAAGCGGGTAATCCAATGTTTCCACGCAAACCCAAAATGTATAAAAGCATACCTACAATGGCGGAATAATACTAGTATAAGGATTCACCTCATGTTTTTAAAAAATGAATACAAAAATTTTAGTGCAAAGATTTTTAAAACCTTTAGTCAAATCCGCAGGCAATTGACGTTACAGATTTTTCTTATTAAAAAAATATAACCTATTCCTATAGTATTTAAGTACGGGTTTTTTAGATAAGAAAAATATGTACATGTAACGTCAAGTGCTTGTGGCCACATCTATTCCGAGTGGATTGGCGTAACATACATGTATTAGATGAGAACAAGATGTAAAATTTGCACCCCCCCCCCCACTTCACTTCCCAGCGCCCATAAAACATTACATTATGCATTTTGTAATAATAATAAAGGATTAGGAAATACATGTAATTATCTCCAATGTTTTTCATGAATCTCTCTCTTTCTCATGCTCTCTCTCTCTCTCTCTCTCTCTCTCTCTCTCTCTCTCATGCGCTGCTACCCAAAAGAAAATATTCTTAGACTTATTTATAGTAGTAGTAGTAGTGTTTATTTATTATAGTGACATGTGATAAACAACATGAACGACCGTACAAAAATATCAGAATATAAACACCCGGCCCGTTGGGCCTATTTATGTCACCTTATATTGTACATAATCCAGATCTAATATATACATATTACATTATTTATATGTTTCTGGGAAAAAAAACCAAACAAAGAGTCTCTGAATGTATCGTAATTAGAGGGGTCGGGTATTTTTTGCATGGAACGGGTGCTTTTGTTTTGTTTCGATTGTTTTTTAATAAAATATTTTAATTACATTTGACATAAAACAACAGGATGAAAATTGAAAAGTAATTACCAAATACATGTAGGCGGTGAAAGGGATTGGACCCCTCCCCCATATCCTCCCCAAGGATTTCCAGTTCTATCAAATTTATATGGTGAGGTTCCCTTGGAATATCGACCCCTCCTCCCCACCAACACCACCACCACCACCCAAAGGGAAACACAGACGACTGAAAACTAAATTGAAATGAAAACAGTTCACTCAGGTATGAAAGAAAGCGCCTTGTCCCCGAGATAAGACTTTTTCGACCCTGTACCCCCGCCGATGCGAAATAGTGGGTTTTCGATGTCGTGTTAGTGAACTTTTTATCTATTTTCTGTATGATTTTTTTTCTATTGAGGGGCATTGAACAGCCCCCCTCCCCTCTTCAATCTGGATCCGCCATAGCAATACAAAATATGACCCTTCCAAAGATACTTGGGGACGGGACAGCCATTCCGCTCCTTACCCAAGGGTTGTTCGACTTTTCTCGTATTTTTGTCTCTGACACATCTACACAAAGAATATTCCAACATTATTGAAATGATACCCGGCTTTTTTTTTTTAAAGTAAGTCTTTAAATTAACCTTTTATATTAATTCTTTAAATTAACCTTTTATAAAAATTATACTGACAGGTGTTAATTTTTTACGCATGTAAATTTGTGCCATTTTGATTTTTGTGTGACTGTCATAGAAAACAAAATTCTCAAAACCCTGGGGTTATATGGAACACAAGGAAGTCCGCTGATCATGTTAAAGCACCTGTGTTCCCTTCCCATGCATAGATCAGATCAAATGATCGATATATAACGTTTAAAGTTAGAGGGTAGTGCATAAGTAATACCCCTTTTTTTCTTAATATCTATGAAAAAAAGAATAAAAATTATATCGAGCGCAAAGTTAAACAAACGAATATTATTCCGGAACTTGTTTTCAGATACGGTTTTTTCTCATATACACAGTAATGGCGCCTAAAACGAAAACAAGAACAGGGTGCAGTTGAACTGTTTGTTTTAACAAAAAACACGTCATGTTTGAGCTTCCAGACGACGATGACAACTTTTGGGAGGTATAATTTAAGATTTCTCTTACATTAACCAAGCTGAAATAAAGACCCAACCGAAAATACTGAGCTCGTTGCAGCCTATTTTAAGGCATAATAGAAGTTTGAAAGTGCCATATACAGATATATTGAGATTAAAAAGTGTTCAATATTCTTTATGTTTAAAGGGTTTCGCAAATCATCATCAAGAGGTACTCTTATCATACTTGGGAATCGCATCAAACATTTCTACTTTCGATTTAGTTCTGTTGTCCATGTGTTAGTGTCAAAACGTAATCTTGAGACCACCAGGTCACAATGTTAAATTCTAATGCTCCATAACATAATATATTCTAAAGTATATAACTAAGGTTACATACCCTTAAGCATCAACTGAACGTTTTTACGCACTAGCTTTACTTCCTGTCCTTATCTCTGTACCAGTCTGTGTGTTTACGTGCTTCGGTTGAACATGTTAAAAAAACTAAGTGTTATCTCATAATAAACACACACATAAAATAAGATTACATTTTCCTCGAAAAAAAGATAATATAAAAAAAAATATGATTTGGGCACATAATCATGACTGCCAGATTGCATTAATTTGAGCTGAACATGATTAAATAATACATGTATTGCATCCTAAACATTCCACAAATGAGCTGCATAAACATGTTTTGAAATCATATTGGTAGATTTGTTATTTATTAGAATATTAATATTAAAAGAATCATCATATCACAAAAACTAGCAGTTGCAAGGATATTTAATTGAATGTTTTTATTGATAATGATATTTTTTAATGTTAAAAATTAAAGCACTTAATTTTACATAATTATAACATCATGAACGTGAAATGCACTTCTTATAACGTCTTGAACTTAAAGTGTTGTCGAAGCGACAAGCGATGTTTAATATTTTAATATTTTAATTTATGTAGAATTGTAAAAAAAAAAAAAAAAAAAAAAAAATTCTTACAAAGTTTTATAATCAGATTCTCAGAATATCAGAGATGTAGGCAATTCTAACACCTTTCTAAAAATAACTAATGCTACTTCCAGTTTCATTTAAATAGCCAAAACCTCTTGTGACTTGCTATCACACTGAGTTCAAAATGATGTGTATAAACCACTACAATGAAGCCTCTTACTCTTCATCTAATATCAAGTTTCATATGTCATTTGACATGTTTGAGGTCTCCTCCCTTAAAGACAGATATATGCAAAACGACCATTTCAAAAATGTAAGCTCTTCTAGATTTGAACCTAAGGCAAACATATAATACCACTGTATTGTGGACTTATCAGGCACTTCAATTGTTGCAATGTTATATTTTTGTTGTAGGATTTGCCTCTTGATGATATAACAAATAATAAGTCACCAAAACAGAAAGCATCCAATTCAGGAGTTCCTAGGCAGTGTGAAATTCAAAGCCATGGAACATCCAAGACTGTCAACTATAATAATGGCAATGAAAAACAGAAACCATGTGGTAGAAATAAAAATGGGTCTCTAGGAGAAGGTCACAGTCCAGATTTCAACAAAAGGGGAGATTTGTTTACCTCAAGTAGTGGGGAGGGTGCTGCAAAGAATAACTGTATCTCAGGTGTTGAAAACACTACTAAGACAACTTTCTCATTCAAACCTGTGAACTCTACAAATTGTGATTCAGTATCTTTAGATGAAATAAAGGTGAATGGAACAGAGAAAGGTGAACTGAAAACAGGAAAGAGACTGTCTTCTGAATCCATGTCCGACTCGTCAAAGAAAATACGTTTACACGACGGTAGGTAGAAATTCAACAAGACTGATTGAGAATAATTTCTCGTGGTTATAATTCAAAGGCACTTTTACATTTTTATTTACAAATGTTTTTTTCTATAGAATTGGTCACTTTTGCTTTTTTCAAATGTTTATTGGAAGGCATGAATGTAGTTGTAACTTCAGAATCAGGATAATAGCTACATTTATCAGATCAGAATGAGATGAACAAAGAAAAAAAGATGGACAGAGTGCTAGCAAAATATAATTTCCTTTATTAAATACTTTACCATGCTTATCAATATACAGCATACATACATTAAACGTACATGCATGCATGTATTTCTCAGGAACAGTTGTGGGTCAGTTTTTGCAAAGTACAGAAAATAGAAGTGATTATTGGTCACAAACACAGGGAGACACACAACTGATTAGATCTACCACTCGGTTCTCAACTACTACTTGGTCCATAACTACCACTCAGTCCTCACATCCAGTGGGTCAGGGTAACTCAGACAGAACTTATCAACTAAAGACCAGCCATCCTCAGAAACACACACTAGAGACCTCTACCACTCAGTCGCCAAATCCAGTGGGTCAGGGTAACTCTGGAGGGACTTATCAACTAAGGACTAGCCACTCTCTTAGACATACACAAGGGACCACTGCTACTCATTCGCCAAGTCCAGTGGGTCAGGATAACTCTGGCGGGACTTATCAACTAAGGACCAGCCACTCTAAGGTTCTTGCCTCTGCTAGAAGGCAGTGTTCAGGTGTGACCAGAAATATTAACACCACTCCAGTAATCAAGAAAGCCAAAAGAAAATTCCCTGGACCTGCTGGACTTCTTCCTAGACTGGTGAGGTTACCATGGTTACTAATTATATAAGAGACAGGTGTCTATTTTCAAGACTTAGTCCAATTTTTTTATTCTAAGAATGACATTTTTTGCTTTAATATGAAACTTTCTCCACAAGTTGGACAAGTTGCACATGTTTTATTTAGGTGAGAATTAAAAAGAGCTTTCCTTTTGTTCCCAGACTAGGTTAATTTCTAGATAAAATTACTTATATGAGAATTTTTTTCCGAAGGCTTTGAATGGATATGTTGTGACCCATTTCTAAAAAATTACTCATTTTGGTAATGTTTGAAGAGGGGTAACTCTAGGCAACCCTAATAAATATAGATTACTCATTAAAGTAATTTTTTTCATTACTTAGGTATTAAGTAACACCCCATTATATTATAAATTTCATTTACTTCACAAGATCCTGTAAGAATTTGGTTATTTAGAACTGATCTAAAGTTCATTACTAGTATTCTGTATGAAACTGAAAAGCAAAACACATGATATTTTCCTACACTTTTGTTCCATCAAAGTTCATTTTTTGAAGCTAGATTATACACTCAATGAACCATTCATATGTCAAGTTGTACAATAGTGAGAAGGAGAGAAAAATTTGATCTTTTAAATTCCTATTCTCAATATAAAGGACATTTTTGTACTTTGATTATTTTAATTATTTAAAACCCTGACAAGAATCACTCCTAAATGCAAAAATTATCCCATATTTAGGACTTCCAGATTACTTTGATATGTCTATGGTATTCAAGATATCGGTGTTCGAGATCCAAAGTTCAGCTGTATTTTTATTTAATCAGCTATTTACGTGTATATGGTATATGCATATTTCACTTATTATTTATAGTAATCATTTATTTATTTGATAGTCTGATAATTCAGAAAACATAAAGGAATCTGTGACACCTTCATTGAAAATATCTCCAGATAAAATAACAGTTGAGGTAAGGGAAAAATGTAAATAATGCTTTATTTGTTCCTTTGTCATGTTTGTAGTTTACAAAACTTCTCAACTCACATTAACAAAAATCAATTTTCGTGATAAATGACAAAAAGAATGATTTATTGGTACAATTTCACTGTCTATGAAAGACACATGTGACTTGTTCCACAGTTATGGTATTAGGGCTGTGTATTGAGCAAAATATTTCGATACGATACGATACAATATTTTTTAAAGCGATATGCGATATATTGGATTATTTATTAAGTCTTTCACAAATGTCTTGTAAATGACATTTAATGCATAAATTTGATAAAAACTGGGTGAGTCTAACATAACATGTTAAAATATAGTTGTCTATGTATTTTGTAATAGTTATTTAAGATGTGCTATCTCCTTAATGTTTATTTCATTATTGATCATTTTTAATTCAAAACAGTCAAAAATAATCTTTGGTAACTGAAATTCCCAACCTTTTTACAGAATTATAAGGAAAACTGCCTGTCCAATACGTGTTGGAAGTTATTTTTTCGATACGATACATTCCTGAAAATCGATACGTATTGAATATTCGATATATTGACACAGCCCTATATGGTATATGTTTTGATTTATAGAAAGAGGACACCATCCTGTCCTCACAGTCAGTTGATGACATCTTTAGTGAGGAGCCCTGGAGGACATTGATGGAGGAGCTAGGACCAGATGGACAGCAGCTCCTCCACAACTTCTCAATAGCAAACAATCTCACAAAGGTAGTCTGTTTGTTGAGAATGTGTTTAAAATGACAATGTTATGGCTCATCCAGGATTATCAGTTTAGAAATGTTAAAATAAAACATTGACCCACTATGAATACATTCCAGATTTAATTTCTTTCTTATTAATACATTGACCCACTATGAATACATTCCAGATTTGATTTTTTCTTATTAATTTGCATTTTTTTTCAAGTGGAATCATCCAACATCAAATTTTCTCATGGGAGCAGACATAAATGTCACTTATGTTTGGGATGTCCAAACTCAGCAGTAAATTTGATATTATGATCTGACAAAGAATTTCCTGTTTTGAAATTAATCTTATTATCTATTGATTTCAATTGTGGAATTAGTATGCAGGAAAACAGAGATTTACATGAAGACTATTTAATATTTAAATATTTTTTCACATTAAGTGATATGCACTTAAAATATTTAATTTGCTTTTAGATATGATAAGTGATAGATTAAAAAAATTAGTAAATTTATAAACAGCACATAATAGATGAACCCCCCCCCCCCCCCCCCCCCAGCACATACACAAATGTATCATTTATAAGCATAAAAAAATGAAGAAAAAAAAAACATCAAAAACAAAACAAACAAACAAAAGAAAGCTGTTGAAAGGAATAAAGAAGTGTTAATATAAGTTTATTTGATTCAATGTTGTCTATGATCTTTATAAAAAAAATCTTTTTTAATGGTAGAAAAATCCAAATCAAAGACTTAAATTTTGAAATTGTTTAATTTTATTTATACTATAATCAGCATACTTAAAAAAAAAATTAAATTTCAGGCCAGAAAGAAGCAGTTGTACAGGGGGAAAGTTCCACTGTTGATGTGTGTAATAGACAACATAGACTGGCATGGTTCAGATCTAAGTGTGTCACTAAAAGACCGCTCAGGTAATTAATCTTAGTGTGTCACTAAAAGATCGCTCACATAATTAATCTTAGTGTGTCACTAAAAAACCGCTCACATAATTAATCTTAGTGTGTCACTAAAAGACCACTCACATAATTAATCTTAGTGTGTCACTAAAAGACTGCTCACATAATTAATCTTAGTGTGTCACTAAAAGACCACATAGGTAATTTATCTACCGATGTTTGTGTACCTTAGAAATCACTCTGGTATTTTATCTTAGTGTGCTGCTGAAAGAATGCCCAGGTAATTAATTTGTATCAGTCATATAATTTGATTTACAAAATCTTTAATGTTTCATTATTTACTGTTCATCTTTGGGCATTAATTGTGTTGTAATTGGCAACATACAAATGCTCAACTTTTTCTCATTTGATGACATCAATTTACTTGTACATTTGATCTAAAGTGTGAAAATGTTTTAGGTGAAGTACAGGGTACCGTACACCGTGACATAATGAAGGAATTTGAATCGGAACTACAGGTGGGATCTGCGCTTGTTTTGAGACAGGTATGCCACCTTCTGTTATTACGTGATACTACAGGGGGGATCTGCGCTTGTTCTGATACAGGTATGCCACCTTCTATTATTACGTGATACTACAGGGGGGATCTGCGCTTGTTTTGATACAGGTATGCCACCTTCTGTTGTTACGTGATACTACAGGGGGGATCTGCGCTTGTTCTGATATAGGTATGCCACCTTCTATTGTTACGTGATACTACAGGGGGGATCTGCGCTTGTTCTGATACAGGTATGCCACCTTCTATTATTACGTGATACTACAGGGGGGATCTGCGCTTGTTCTGATACAGGTATGCCACCTTCTGTTATTACGTGATACTACAGGGGGGATCTGCGCTTGTTCTGATACAGGTATGCCACCTTCTGTTATTACGTGATACTACAGGGGGGATCTGCGCTTGTTCTGATACAGGTATGCCACCTTCTGTTGTTACGTGATACTACAGGGGGGATCTGTGCTTGTTCTGATACAGGTATGCCACCTTCTATTGTTACGTGATACTACAGGGGGGATCTGTGCTTGTTCTGATACAGGTATGTCACCTTCTATTATTACGTGATACTACAGGGGGGATCTGTGCTTGTTCTGATACAGGTATGTCACCTTCTATTATTACGTGATACTACAGGTGGGATCTGTGCTTGTTCTGATACAGGTATGTCACCTTCTGTTATTACGTGATACTACAGGTGGGATCTGTGCTTGTTCTGATACAGGTATGCCACCTTCTATTATTACGTGATACTACAGGTGGGATCTGCCCTTGTTCTGAGACAGGTATGCCACCTTCTATTATTGCGTGATACTACAGGGGGGATCTGCGCTTGTTCTGATACAGGTATGCCACCTTCTATTATTACGTGATACTACAGGGGGGATCTGCGCTTGTTCTGATACAGGTATGCCACCTTCTATTATTACGTGATACTACAGGTGGGATCTGCCCTTGTTCTGAGACAGGTATGCCACCTTCTATTATTGCGTGATACTACAGGGGGGATCTGCGCTTGTTCTGATACAGGTATGCCACCTTCTATTATTACGTGATACTACAGGTGGGATCTGCCCTTGTTCTGAGACAGGTATGCCACCTTCTATTATTACGTGATACTACAGGGGGGATCTGCGCTTGTTCTGATACAGGTATGCCACCTTCTATTATTACGTGATACTACAGGTGGGATCTGCCCTTGTTCTGAGACAGGTATGCCACCTTCTGTTATTACGTGATACTACAGGGGGGATCTGCCCTTGTTCTGAGACAGGTATGTCACCTTCTATTATTGCGTGATACTACAGGGGGGATCTGTGCTTGTTCTGAGACAGGTATGCCACCTTCTGTTATTACGTGATACTACAGGTGGGATCTGCCCTTGTTCTGAGACAGGTATGTCACCTTCTATTATTACGTGATACTACAGGTGGGATCTGTGCTTGTTCTGATACAGGTATGCCACCTTCTATTATTGCGTGATACTACAGGTGGGATCTGTGCTTGTTCTGAGACAGGTATGCCACCTTCTATTGTTACGTGATACTACAGGGGGGATCTGTGCTTGTTCTGATACAGGTATGCCACCTTCTATTGTTACGTGATACTACAGGGGGGATCTGCCCTTGTTCTGATACAGGTATGCCACCTTCTATTATTGCGTGATACTACAGGGGGGATCTGCCCTTGTTCTGAGACAGGTATGCCACCTTCTATTATTACGTGATACTACAGGGGGGATCTGCCCTTGTTCTGATACAGGTATGCCACCTTCTATTGTTACGTGATACTACAGGGGGGATCTGCCCTTGTTCTGATACAGGTATGTCACCTTCTATTATTACGTGATACTACAGGGGGGATCTGCCCTTGTTCTGAGACAGGTATGCCACCTTCTATTATTACGTGATACTACAGGGGGGATCTGCCCTTGTTCTGAGACAGGTATGCCACCTTCTGTTATTACGTGATACTACAGGGGGGATCTGCCCTTGTTCTGATACAGGTATGCCACCTTCTGTTATTACGTGATACTACAGGGGGGATCTGTGCTTGTTCTGATACAGGTATGCCACCTTCTATTATTACGTGATACTACAGGGGGGATCTGTGCTTGTTCTGAGACAGGTATGCCACCTTCTGTTGTTACGTGATACTACAGGTGGGAGATCTGCACTTGTTCTGATACAGGTATGCCACCTTCTGTTATTACGTGATACTACAGGGGGGATCTGCGCTTGTTCTGATACAGGTATGCCACCTTCTATTGTTACGTGATACTACAGGGGGGATCTGCACTTGTTCTGATACAGGTATGTCACCTTCTATTGTTACGTGATACTACAGGGGGGATCTGCGCTTGTTCTGATACAGGTATGCCACCTTCTTTTATTACGTGATACTACAGGGGGGATCTGCACTTGTTCTGATACAGGTATGTCACCTTCTGTTATTACGTGATACTACAGGTGGGATCTGTGCTTGTTCTGATACAGGTATGCCACCTTCTATTATTACGTGATACTACAGGTGGGATCTGCGCTTGTTCTGATACAGGTATGTCACCTTCTATTATTACGTGATACTACAGGTGGGATCTGTGCTTGTTCTGATACAGGTATGCCACCTTCTATTATTACGTGATACTACAGGGGGGATCTGCCCTTGTTCTGAGACAGGTATGCCACCTTCTATTATTACGTGATACTACAGGTGGGATCTGCCCTTGTTCTGAGACAGGTATGCCACCTTCTATTATTACGTGATACTACAGGGGGGATCTGCCCTTGTTCTGAGACAGGTATGCCACCTTCTATTATTACGTGATACTACAGGGGGGATCTGCCCTTGTTCTGAGACAGGTATGCCACCTTCTATTATTACGTGATACTACAGGTGGGATCTGCCCTTGTTCTGAGACAGGTATGCCACCTTCTATTATTACGTGATACTACAGGTGGGATCTGCACTTGTTCTGATACAGGTATGCCACCTTCTATTATTACGTGATACTACAGGGGGGATCTGTGCTTGTTCTGATACAGGTATGCCACCTTCTATTATTACGTGATACTACAGGGGGGATCTGCCCTTGTTCTGAGACAGGTATGCTACCTTCTATTGTTCCTTGATACCACAGGGGCTAAGCCAATTTTTGTCCAAAACTCTTTGTAGCCATAATTAAAGAAGGGTTGAAATCTGATCTAGATACAAAATTACCCTCTTTCATCAAACACCTGAAAAATCAAAAAATTTTTGTATACTGAAGGAAAAAAGAAACCCAGGGTATAATTTTGATGTGATTAAATGATTTGTGGAAGGTATATTCTGATATTTACCTTTCTCCCTACTTCATGTCATATCTTTCATGATTGAGTAATTTCAAACAGCAAGTTTAGTGCTCAGTAACATGATCCTTCTTTCACAAATTTTCATAATTTTCAGCCATTTAGTGAAATCATTAAATATCAGTTAAATAGATACAATGTAAGGAAGTCTGTGTCGGTTTGTTCAGAGTACAAACAACAAATCATCAATTGCTTATGCTGTACAACTTGTCTTTGCTGTGTCATGTGTATCTATAAAACTTTTGTAAGCTGGAAATGGATTAGAGCTTCCTTGAAAATATTATTTAGATTAAAAATAGGCTGTCAAATAATCAAAGTAATATTCGCTCCACATACCCAAATTTGGTCAATGCTGTTGTTAGATCTACTGGTCAAAGACCAAAAGAATATTTCCATCCATCTGTCTGTTTTTCAGTAAATATTTTTTTCCCTCAATATTTCAGGTAGATTACAGTAGAAAACATAAATATATAAATCGGAGGTTTTATTTCAACAAATTGTGTTTCTTAAGTTTTTTCCTCAAAATTTCTAATTCTCCTACAGTTTGGTCTTATTTCAGTAAACATGGTAAAAATTGGTACACAAATAAACAACCCCAAGATAATCCAGGTGCTATTTTTCTCTACCTCAGAGCTTTAATCTCAAATTAATTTAATCTCAACTTATTTCTGCATGAATATGAGGTATCTTGATTACACTTATTCAGAAACTCTATTTTAGATACACTTTATATGCTATACTAAGCATTTGGATATATTTACTGTTAACTAGGATTTTAGTGCTAAAATTCAATTTACATGTATATGCTTTCATTCTAGCATCAGTACTACTTCTGGTAGTACATGTATTGACCTACTTATTGGGAATCATGTGGTCCAGCAAACTGAAGATTTTGCAAATCAGCATCAGTGCTTACCTAAAGAGAGAAAGATACCATATTGTAGAATATAATTTCACTGAGTGAAAGTTTTCTGTTAATTACAGGTCAGTGTGATAAGTCCAAATCCAAGGAGTCATTACCTAAACATAACCCCGGCCAATATTGTCTTCATATATAGCAAGAATGGAGATTCATGTCAGCTGGTAAACACTAGAAACACTTCTTTATCCAGTGTGTTAGAGGAGGTACAAAGGCAGGAATCTATTCAAAGACATCTGATGAATCAATCAGTAACAGTCAAAACCCCTAGTCGAAGTCTTGCCCACACCCAACAATTTCACAACAGAACACCACAGTTTGTTGGAAGACCATCCACACCTTACGCTTCCCAAATGTTGAATAATAGGACTCAAAGTTTTGGAGGAAGGCCATCCACTCCTTGCAATCCTCAAATGAATAACAGGACTCCACAATTTCCAGGAAGACCAGCAACTCCCAGTAATTTACAGATATCTAACAGTACTCCTAGAGTTGGAGGAAGAACAACAGCATCTAATGTAAGGACACCCTCGACTGTCTTTGATGAAGGGAATTCATCAGCAAGGACTCCATTTAATAGCCAGAATGTAAAGATACCTACTCCTATATTGCAGCATGCAGAAAATAGAACTCCAAGCATTCAGACTGTCAACAGAAATGTACAAAGTGTTTCATCTGCTTCATCCACTTCAGTTCCTTCTACTTCTTCCAGTTCACATTTTCAAGGCATCAAACCTCAAAATCAGAGTGGAGGTACACCAATTTCAAATCAAACAAATGTGAATCTAAATATTACATCTGAATATGACAGAAATCTAACAACTGTGAATCATATAGCTAATGTGAATAACATTCCTAGTGGTGTTCATCCTGGAGGGATTGGCAATAACAGTCAAGAACTTAATAACAACCAACAGTGCACTCCTAATCGGAGATCTTTTAAGTTTAAACCATCAAGAAATCCAGAAATTCAATCAATAACAAACAACAATTCTTCATCAGTTTCAACAAGGGCAACTAGTGTGTTCACTCCTTCCCTTCAACGTGGTGCTAATCAGACCTCTAACAATAGTGCTTCCTTATTACAACAAGGTGATAAACCAAAGTTTGAGGTGGATTCAGTCTGGGGTGAAGGTATGTATAGTGTATAATTTCATAAGAAGAGAGTAAAACCTTACGTATAAAAGCACCAGGCAACTCTGATTAGTTCAAATTTATTTTTTTTCTTTTCAGATTTGAGTGATGATGTGCTCTCCCAGCTCTCTGAGGAATTTTAACTTGTTAATAAAACTAAAACAAAAAAGAATCATTTATGCGCAAATAAATGTCTACAGTTGAAAAACACAGCTAAATATTAAGGAAAGTTCTATCATTGTTTCAGTTTTTCATTTCCATGTAAAATAGGTTTTTTTTAACTTTAATAAATAACAGATGAGTCATTATTTAACAAACGTTTGCACTGCATTGCAGTTTTGAATCACACAAAAAAAAAAATGATCACAAATGCTTAATGTCTATTTAAAAATAAGATCTTGCAATCATTTGAAATGGTTTTGGAGTATATTAAACAAAGGGTAAAAGATGAATATAATGAATAGTGATCAATCAATTAATCCACTCAAGAATATAAATCGTGAACAAAAACACCAGAGTTGGGATCAGGTGCCTAGGAGGAGTAAGCGTCCCATGTCAACTGGTCACAATTGTATAGATCAGGTAAATGGAATAAATGATGAATATGAAAGTGACAAGATACATTTTTACATAATATACGATTTCCCATAGTTTATTGTTGGATACGATTTTTATCCAAAAAGTATGTTTTCTACACATGTATTTCCAAGCCTTGTGACAGAAAACACACAACGAGTTGGATAAAAATCACACCCAACTGCAAACCATTAGAGATTCCTTTTATCACGTGTATTACATATTGCGGTAAAAGCAATCACTTTTGCACAGCTGTGGATATGAAAATATTGCAATACCCATATCAACAGTTTAAAGGACAAGCATTTGAAGTGCGAATATCTCCATAAGGAAAACTTCATGACAGGCAAATGATTTTTTTTTTACTTAACCTAAGTTATATTGAATTTGATAAATGTCCAATTTTGAACCCAAGGTCCAACTGGAAAATGGGAAATAAAGATAATGACAAAAAGGAATGTGGAGTGAAGGTCATATGACAAATACATGTACTAAGTATCTTGTTAAAGATGATGCTCTTGTACTTGTAAACCCTAACCAAAAAATCTATAATAGGCTATAGTTAAATATACATGTAGTAAATAAAAGTATTCACTATAGTATATAAATATTTTAAAATTGTAAACGTATTTTTACTGTGAAATTCAAATCGTTATAATGCAGTATTTCATCACTTTCAAATTAAAATGAATTTCATGATAATATTAAAAAGAAGACTTCTTTTAGATGCAAATATTATTCTAAAATGACTATGATTACTCCCTATAACCTACTCCTATTGATTTTGAGGTCAGGACTTCAAAGACCAATATTAGAAATTCATATATTGCATTAGGTAATTTCCAGATAATAGCTTGAATTTTTGTTAAGCTTTTGCAATGATACTTACGTTGATAACTCTCTCTTAAGAAAGGTCCCTGCCGATGTAATTCATTCTTTTCTTTCTCCATCTGTATCTCCATATTAGGTATTTTCATGCCTCCTTCATGCAGTACTTTCAGTACTTTGATTTTATTTAATCTTCCATGCAACCACATTTTTTTTTCTGAAGACTTGAATCCCCTGATTTAACTTGTATGCACTGCAGTGTATCCATTTAATAATAACACGAAAGCCAAGGTTCAGCATCCTCCAGACAAAGATTTAAAGAGTTTCTTTTTAAACCCTAAGAACTTATTACCTTTCCAGTTTACAGTGTCCCACTATATATATTATTATAACACTTATTTAGTAAAGTGTTATGGTCCCTAATTTAACTAATACAATGGATATTTGAATAAAATTAGCCCAAAACATTCTAAGTATGGTACCCAAACAAAAGTTAATTAATGGTAAACAATCGTTTACTTCAATACTAATTTTTCACTTTTATTTACTTCTGTACTTTGCAACTTTACTGCAGAACTTGACTTTGATATGAACTTTACCCCTAAAATATTTGTTTGAAATGAAGAGCATTAAAATCTCTCAAATTCCATGATATAAAATTTCATGTGAAATTTTAAAGAGAACTGAAGCTATTATTTGGACCCCCCTTTTTTGTTTGTTTGTTTTTCTTTTTCTTTTTTTCATTTTATAAAAATTTTGACCATAACATTTTATTTTTGAATGGATAGGGGTGTATATTTAGTCGTAACGACTAATATAGGATTTAAGTACTGTAGATCACTAATTTTTTGCGACATCTTATTTTCGCGAGATAGGCATTTACTCCTTATAAGCGAGTCAAAAAGTTCACGAATTGTGGCTACTTCTCTATATAATATTTCGGAATACTGATGTACCCGACAAAGATATTTTCTCGACCACGTTCTCTCGCGAAATTACGTGTAAATAATGTTCTCGCGAATAAAAATTGATAAACAGTACAAAAGCTCAAAGATATCTGGAAACCAATTTATGCAATATATGGATTTCAAACCTTAACCTTTGACCTATCAATAGGAGTTTTTTTCTTATTTAGGTCATAGAAACAATTACAATATTAAAGCTTAATATTTTTTAAGATATCCTCCAGGCACAGAAATATTACAATGAGAGACAAATGGACAGGGAGACGGACGGATAGAATCGAATTTATACTCCAGCATTTATCAAAAGCGGGGAGCAAAAGTAAAGTAGGGTAAACCAGTACTCTGTTTAGTTCTTTTCCCCTTAGTTTATAAGTCATTTTCATAGTGCTTTAGCCGTACAGAACATTATCATAATCTGGGAATTCTCCATCATGTATACGGTTATCCACGGACTGTTCAGGTCTCCCTATATAAGAGTGGTGATCCAGAGGTTCCCTGTTTTTTGTCATATAACTAACTCTGGGTCCTGGACTTGCTGATGAATCTTGTCTCGAGTTTCTGAAAAAAAAATCATGTTAATGATACATGTATTTACTCTGGTCATTGGAGTTATTATTTGAGTGATATGATCAATTAATTGTGTACACAACTTGCCTTTTGCATGTTTTTAAAATCCAAACAGCTAACCCTGTACCGAAAACCAAGCCAAATACTATCCCACCCAAGAGGCTTCCCAGAACTGAGATCATGTTCCTTCCTAATTATAAGAGTAATAAAACTGTAAAGATCTTTGTAACGTAAAATCAATTTAAAACTTTTAACAGTGTAATTGTATTTTGTAAAGTTCACTTAAACTATGAACTTTTCCGAAGTTCAACAATTTATTCATTATATTTGTTGAGATCAGTTGTAACTGAAAACAACATTTACAATTCTGCAAGAAAAAATGCTAAAGAACTGAAATCTGCCTCTTAAATATAAAAAATGTTTTTGAATTACTAGTATTGCAATTTTTTTTAAATATAAGCGAGCTCTCTTATGTTTGTACCTTGAATAATGTCTTGTGGTTTGACAAAATATACCATCATATGGTTTTCATTGCAAGCATCGCAGATACACTTCGTAGCTTTTAAAACAAGAAACACAAATCAAAATCAAAAGCAGCATAGAAAAAAAATATGATTACACCAATGAATAAGAAGTAAGATTTTTTCAACATTCAAAACCATCAAATTGAATGATTTCAAAATAAAGAATGTACCTGAATGTACATAAACACGTATAACGGTACAGTAGTCATTACATTTGTCGTCTATTGAGAGAGGAATCGTCATTAACGACTGGCAGATGCAGGTCTCTGATGACGTCGTTATGTTAGATTCAATTATACAGGATAAGTTGGATATCATGCTGTTTTCATCTGACGACGAACGTTTTTGCAGGAACGCATCAATTTCTGCACAGAAGGAACGATATAAAATTTAAGGAATTTATCTAAATATTATACAAAAGAAGATTGTATCCACCACTTTTACACTGATCACAAACAAGTTTATTTTTCACCCCTTTTCAAAGCTTTTACAGGCATACAATAAAATCAGTTTGGTCAAAAATTGAGACGTCGGAAAATAATTACTCTATCTTAATTAAATATTTAATGGAATTTACTAAAACATCTAATATTACCCAGAGTCTTGTTATAGATATGCATTTTGCTTCTCCTGATACAAGATTTGGTGTCTGTGGTGTCTGACACATTTAATTCCTTTTCCATGTTAATGTTGATACATTGTGGCATGAATGAATCTTTGCTACAACAAACAAAAACGTAAAATATTCAGTCTATTAGCTAGTATCCTTAAGCTGAAAAACAGATGAACATCATTAAATATCTGTTCGGAAAAGAAGAGAGAAAAACCTGTCAGAGTGAAATATGAAAATAAAAAAAAAATTACTTTGCGAGCACGTTGCTTGAAATAATTATCAATAACAAGAAACTCATTCGGATAAATCCAGAAATCCAACGAAACATCAATGTCAGATATTACAACAATTAAATAGCTGCTATATGTTACAAAATTTGCCAGAATTAGAAAAATAACAGCATTCTACGTGAATATGCACGAATCATTTTTAATTTCCTGTCCATTATAAAACCAACAAGTGCAAGTAAAGGAATAATTAAGTTTCAACTGCATTGTAGCATATAGCATATTGCTTCCTCGAAAGTCGGTGCCATTTGATTTCCTCCCTACAATTTGAAATTTAATTAGATTTCAATGATCTGAAGATTCAATAATTAAATCATGCATCAGCTTTTAGCGTGCCATGCAATAAATGCTTCAAACATAATTTTATGCATGTGCCGTATTATGCAGTGGGAAAATTGTCAAGTCAAATTTAATAAATTAAGTATCTATAATTCTTTTCTAATGTCACAGGCAACTTTTGATCTAATTATTTTAACTCAACTATGATAATGGTCCTAAAACATTTGATGAACTTGTGGATGTATAGTGGTAAGATGTTTATGCATGTATCATCGAATTCATCGTATATCATACAGAACATAAACCCCGTGAACCAAATTCTTTGTATTTTGTCTGTTGTACAAATTGTCTCTATGTGTTTCTGAATGCCTATAGAGAATTCTTCAGAAAGTTGAAAAGGGTTTTCCACTATTACTAAAATTATATTGAAATGACCTGTAATTTATTTAAGAAAAACATTCTTTATACACAGTCTCTCTTTTGCACATCGATATTTTTACGTTTCAATGCGAGAAAACTTTGATTTTGAACACCAATGGGAAAAACTCAACAACAATCATACTTAAAAATAACTTAAAAGAATTTTATTTGACATTGGCGTCGGAAGCAAATTGAAAAGGGAGGGGGGCTAATTGAAAGAGAAAAAATTTCAAACCTAAAAAAAACTTGACAAGAAAAAAAAAGGAAAAAAAGGAAGATTTGTCCATTGTCCAAACCCAAAAATTCCATAATTTTCAAACACTACCACTTACCCTTCTTTGACTACGCTGCAACGTGCCTGTTGAAAAGGGGGGGGGGTGTTAAAATCTACGCCCCAATGTTGAATGCCTATATTATGTCTATCTTGGCAAAAAAAAAATCTGATGATGAATATCTTTTTGGGGGTACTTCCACAATCCCATTTTTTAAAATTCCGGAGGAAGGGGTCTTGATCTTATCACAATAAACATGTCTATTCGGACAATAGCAAGTTTATTGTGTCTCAGATTTGCATGATCACTGGTTGTAGCAGTCTTTGTGTGACGCTTGACTATCTCACTGATATACCTCTAAGATCAACTTCGAATGGTCTAACATTATTCAATTTAAAAAAGTTATGGTATAGACTCAAAGACAAGAATTTACAATTCAGCAATTCAGAACCATTGAACTTGATCTTGATCAAAGGACATAGGGAACAGGTTTAATTGCTATTGAAGGTTTCGATGAGAGCTACTAATATAACTTTTTCGTCAAGAAAGCCTGGAGTTAACGCTTACCGTCTGAAACAGGTTCTACCAGTAAGTCATTTGACTCACCTCCACTTTGTACCGGCGTCACATAGTGGCAATGGCGAAACGCCTGAAATTAAATGTAACATGTGATCACGTAAGGGCAAGGAAGCCACCAGTCTCTGGGTCAAACGAAGGCGTCAGCAACAGTAACACTTATAATTAAATCTCTGCTGGTTCGGGAACATTGATAAATCAGAAAGTGAGCAACAGTTTTGAGAAGAATGATTGTCTAGACAGTCAAGCAATGACATGGTGCAAACAAAACCGCATGAAATCTATTGAATGGAAACTACTTCTTTCTCTTTCGACTCCGACATGAAGCATCAAGGGCCTCGTGTATATTTCAATAAGAGAGAACATCTGTTGGTAAAGGCATAGGACAGAAGGGAGTATCAATTATGATTTTTAGTTTCAATGGAGTAAGAGGGGCATTATATATATGGGGAGAAAATATTGGGAGATGGCATACCAAAATTATATTCAGATTACCAAAAAGAAAGCACCCAACACAGAAGATATGACCTTCATACTAACACCAGACGCCATAAAGGTCATGATTCCTTGGAACTATTTATTTCAATACTAGTTACAACCAGTTTGTCAATAAAACATTACAGAAGTGTAGTAAAACTACCTATATGCTTTCCTCATTCAAATAAATAATATGATATGGCTTTAAGAGAAAAGAATGAAAATGGATAGAAACATCATGTTAGTTTTTGTGCCAAAGTTAAATTTGTCAAAAGAAGGAAATTTCAACACAATACGTCAAACGAAACAACAAATAACCTCAGGGAAAACAACTTTGGATATACAATTTCATGTATCTCTTACAAGTTTAGAGAGTTTCTCATACATTCAAGGGTGAAAGATGCGATGGTGTTGGAACTGATCATCATCTTTTATTTGCAAAAATAATCTTAACGAAGCATGAAAAACGCAACAATTGCTAATAAGTAGAGTCGAACACACTCTTAAGCTACAGGGGGAAAAGATGTCAAGGTGCAAGTCCGGGTAAAAAAGGAAATTATAACAACAGGTTTGGTACCTAGATAGGGACATAGATAAGGCGTTACACCTGACATAATGAAAATTAATTAATGAAAGAAAATTACCTAACAAATCAAAGAGGCGAGAAATAAGAAAAATTTAGAAGATTCTGACAAAATTCATGATAAGTCATGGAAAAGTGGTCATCTCCTGCCGACCGGTCACTCCCGCAGTGTCCTCCTTGTCATGATCGGAAATAACGGAAAAATCCGTCGACAATTCAGTATGAATTAGAAAAGGATTTACCAAGAGATAGATTCAAGTATGTAATTAACTAAGCAGTAATTTATTAAAAAAGATTGCATTGAATTCTATGGGGACAACCGATTTTTTAAAAATAAAAATTCAAATAATAAGAGTATCATGCAATAAATACTGTGGTGGAAAGATGCATTAAAACATCAGAAATAGAATGACAATTGAAAACGATTTTTTTAAAATTGATTTTTTTTATTAATTCAAAACAGAGGGAGAAAACTCTTACCAAAATTCAAGGTCATAAATTAGGACACATCGCACCCGTACATGTTAATAGTAATAAATGGGAATTATGTCTAGATATACTGAGTATTCAACCTCTACACATCTCTTATATATTTAATTTCATTGAATATTTTGCTATTAGGGATGGAATACCTTAATGATAGATTGTACTTGCTGACAAGGTCATTGTATCGACCATAGAACGTACGAAATGATGACATTACACGACACTGTTGATATTTAAGAAATAAACAACAATGTTAAAAAGTTCTCTGGGAAATGAACTTGGTTGTTCACGTGATCAAATCCTGTGAAGCCCAAAGGGCTTCTCAGAAGATTTGATCACGTACCAACCAAGTTCATTTCCCAGAGAACTTTTTAACATTGTTGTTTATTACTTTTATGTACATTTGAGACGAATATTCTGAATAGAACTGCATTTATTACACGAACGGCCCGCCGTATTGCTCTGTTGTGTCGCGCAATGAACTAGAAGCTGTTTGGTCTTGAGAGTTCGCCTCGCTCCAACATTTGAATATTTACATTGATGTTCAGCAGTCCAGTTCAGGAAATATCTGTTCATAATGAAAAAACAATGTTCGCTACTGGGAATAATCTTACTATTATTGTATGAGTTCTTTATATATGAAGTCAAAAGTGGTGCTATCGTCTTCAGTTTACATACCTTCAAAGGAATTTCGGCTTAAAAAGGTAAGCGTGATTTTAGGCTAATTAGAAACATTCTTCACACCGAAGAAAGATCTAATGATCATTTGTGGAACGAAAAAAAATATATGTTTCAATAATTTTATCTTTCATCGCTTAAACGGCTTAGAAGTTCCGAAACCAGTGTCACTGTGACAGAAATATGTAGACAAGATATCGTCACGCTGTGTGATTTGGTCACGCCATGAACTCTGACCCCCTAATAAGTTCATACAGAATTGAATATATTTTCTCTTCAATAGGTTCATCTAAGAAAAATATTTGCATATGTAAACAATCTTGTTTAATCAACTTGTTTGTCAATAACTTACCTCGTTTTACAAATTGTTCATACGTAGAGCATGCTCTTGCGTATTGAATCAACTGAGAAATATACACCCCATATCCAGGTGATAAGGGTATATTGCTGCATAAGTAAGGGGAGATGGCGATTGAAAAGTTAAAGTCATCGTGTTTATCATAAAGCTTTGTTGTTAGGTTACCATTAACGTCTTTTACTACAGAGTAAAACATCCAAATATGAAACAGATGTGTCAGACTCTGTGGTTTCTTTTATTTCAAGCTCACTGGGATATATCGTGTTGACATATGAATGGAAGTAACTATTGTTAATTAATAATACGTCGTCGATATATCTAAATGTCGAGTTGAAGGCCACAGCGAGAGATTTCTTTTTGTAATGTTTAAGATTTTGAATAAATTCTGCGTCATATGAATACAAAAATAGGTCTGCTAACAACGGGATGCAACTGGTACTCATGGGAATTTCCACAGATTGTTGGAAGACCTGGTCTCCAAAAACGACATAGATATTGTCAATCAGAAACTCGAGCATCTTTCTAATATCAACTTCAGAGAACTTGTGTGTTCAATCAGAATGTTTTTTTTTTTTGACAAAATAATTTTGCAAATGACCAATGACAAGGTAAGTAGATTTAAGAGTTCCATTTTTATTGAAAAAGCAGTTTATCGTGGGGGAAAGGTTTTATTTGATCAAATAACAACATTTACATTCTGTTACGAGTTTTGTTTTGTTTTTTTGTTTTTTGTTTTTTGTTTTTTTTTATAAACAATCAATGTTATGTACTTTATACCAATTGAAATCGGTCGGCAGCTTTGTCACCTAGCAACAATAAAGAGCGCCCATAAACAGATTAAAATTCCAAAAATACTCTTTCATATTAAAAAATTGGAAATGATAGGTATGAATGTTCTTTTTGTAAAACTAACCACTTAATTTCTTTTTAGGCGGAGGGCATACATTCTTTTAGTCACATAACAAAGATGCACAGTAATACTATAAAGGTTATTACTAGGTTAGGGCACTAAGGGAATATTTATTTAAAAGGTGCCGCTTTAAATCTGGCAAACATTTTGTTTACCATTCCTTGAAAGAATGTCAGTTTTGCAAAACAATCAGAAAATCGATGTAAGTGTATACAGTATATTGAAATAGTTCAGTAAAGTGTATTCATACGAAATAATTTTATAAACTGTATCACACCCATACTTCGGTCATCATTTTCAAGTTATTGAATTTCATGTCACTGTCATCAGTATAGGATTTATAAAATGTTCTGGATAAAACATACTTGTATTTTCTAATCTAATTAATATCCGTAAAAGTTTCCTTGAAAATGACCATTAATCTCTTATCATAGTCTGATGAAGAAGGGAGGACCTTTAACCCATAGATTTATACTGGAATTTAGCCAGTAAATAAAGACTTATCTATATTTTCAGTCAGACCTGACAAAGCAAATTGATAGGAATCAGTACGAGTATAATTTAACAGGATTAATAGGAGATACACTAAAATTGGACTGCATTATAAAATACGGTCATCATAAATATCCTAGAGTTGCCAAATTTCTTTTTTTTTAAATATTAAAATTAGAAACACAAGATATCTCATCGTCAACTTTATCATATTTTAGTACCCATAACCTATGTTAATCTTACCGATAAAAGAATGAAAAAGGTCAGGATAACAAACAGTGATCAATCTAAAAAAAAAAAAAAACTGAAAACAATACAAATCTGTAAAGAGAGCATAAAACACGGACCCCTGAAAATCCCAGAGGTGTTTAGTAGGAGTAAGCACCCCTATTGACCGGTCACTGCACCTATTATTGATCGGGTAGATGGAATATTCCGTATACAAACTTATAATAAATTCAAAGGCCTAACAATTGGTATGAAAAATGTCAGTCAAAATACGACCCGATGATAGGTTATATTCGCTAGCAAGGTCACTATAAGAAAAAAGAACAAAAGTGCATGGTCTGCTTAAAATTTAATATTGAGTAACTCTCAGATCTCTAAATTTTAATAAAAACGATCTTCAGGCAAAACGTTCACCTGAGTTACAATGGCCCTTCTATTCTTTATCTGCAGATTTTTTTTGCCTATATATTTCTATGTAAAATTAAGATAATATATTGTGGCCCCACTCTTCTCCCAGACATTATGAGTTGAAAAACCAAATCTTCACTACCCGAGAATTCTTCCTTATAAATATGACAAATCATGGCTTTGCTGTTCTTAAGAAGAAGACTTTAAAAGATTATTCATACATTTTGACTTCCCCCCCCCCCCCATTGTGACCTAACCCTACCCACCGGGGTCATGATTTGAACGCTTGAATCTACACTATATGAGGATGCTTCCATATAAATATCTAGAAATCTGACTAATCATGGCTTTGCTGTTTCTTAGAAGATGATTTTTCCTATGATAATTATATTCCTACTTAAAACTTCAACCATCATGGCTAACCCTTCCCCGGCAGTAATGATTTGAACAAATTGAATCTACACTACCTGAGAATGCTACATTATAAATATAACTAATCGTGACTTTGCTGTGCTCGAGAAGAATTGAAAAGATTCCTCAAATGCTTTCCTACCTATAGTGGCCCCGTACTACTCCATGGAGTCATGATTTGAAAAAAACTTGAATTTATACTACTTCAGGAAGCTTTTACATCACTTTCATAAAATGGGAGATAACGAACAGCATTCAAGCTCAAAAGTTCATTCAATCAATACAAATCAGGAGCAGAGCAAATACGGACCTATAAAACATCAGCGATGGGATCAGGTGCCATGGAGGAGTGAGCATCCCCTACCAACCGATCACACCTGCCGTGTGCTCCTTGTTATGATCGGGAAAAGTGGAAAATCCGTCGAAATTCAGCATGTAAAAAATGGCACAACAATTAGTATGAAAAACGTCGGTCAGCATTAGACTTAATGATAGATTGTATTTCCTGACAAGGTCATTGTATCGAATATTTTCTAGGCCAGCGGTTCTTGAGATTTTAATGACCCCAGCCAATTTCATTATTTCTTAATTACCTCCACTTGGTGGAGGGTGTGGCCCTCCATTTGAACAAATTTAAAGTCCCTTGATTAAAGGATACTCTGTGTCAAGTTTGGTTGAAATTGGTCCAGTGGTTCTGGAGAAGATGAAATGAGAAAAGTTTACGACCACGACGCCGCCGGCGACATCGACAGAAAACAGACATTTTATTTCATTTTTAGAAAAGCTCACTTGAACCTTCGGCTCTGGTGAGCTAAGAAGCAGTAAAAGTTTGAAAGTACTTTTTTTCATACATTTCATTAAGCAGCTGTTAATCAAGATTGGTTAAGATCAGTTTCACTTTTTTTAAGTTTCACAAAGCTTAACAACATCATTGACAATAAGAAGACGTCACCATTATAGTTGGTATTCCTAATACACTAGGCCAGTACCCGGGCCAAATCTGATTTGTCGATCAAAAGAGTAATAATTATGGATTCTGTAGTCAGAAATACTTACCTAGATCATAAATTATCAAATGACAACAAATGACAAAATATTAAATAAAATAATAACACCTTTCAAAGTTTATTGAGAAGAAAATGACTTGATATAAATGGAAATAAATGATCGAAATTAAATAAAAGAATTTCGATTCGGCAAATAAGATATTTACACAATTTAAATCAATCTTTAAACTATTATCACTGAAAAATATCAAATAGACAACATAGAAGAACTACGTTGTTTTAAAGACTTTTCCGGTAGTATCTCGAGACTAAGACACCTTGGCAAAGAATACACACTTTCCACTTTCGATAGATTGCTCGATTGTGAAGTACATCTTGTCCCATAGTTTGGTTCTAAGATATTATAAACATGGCTGTACTCAAATTCGGTGTTCGTGTTTGTTTCACTTTCATGATTACAGATGGGAGGATCGCAGGGGTTGACAGCTTTAGTTGTATTGCTGATATTTTGTTCAGGAATGGTTTGCGTATTTCCCTAAAATATGTTATTCTGTCATAGCTAATTTTACAAAGCATATAATTAATTTTGAAAAAGAAAAAAAATATTTATGCAAACAAGGACAGTTATTACTGATATCTGTTTACAATATCTAATGATTAGATAAAACGCATGTATTTCTTTAAAATGTTTGTTTTTCATAAAAGTAAAACAGAACGTATTTTTGAAAATATTCATACCCAAGAGAACTAATTTTTTCAAATACTCATACCTGTATTATACTTGATTTATCGCTGATTTGCTCATAGAGTTCAGAATTTATGGAATAAGTACATTTTCTTTCTGTGTATCTCTTGATTGACTTGTTTTTTCTGAAGAAGAGATATTGTTAAAATTTTTTAATTAACAATAACGGGGATGTTATCCTTATAATATTGCATCCAAAGTATGAATATCACAAACCTATAAAATGAAAAACAAACTCCAAACAAGAAGCCAAATATTCCACTTAGCAGTACAACGCCCGAGGACACAAGTATTATTTCCTCTGAAACATATGAACATGAAAATAAATGGTTCATTAAGTCATTAACTTTATGAACAGATTGAAAATTTAGGGAATGAACATAATTATTATTATGCTTTTGTTTAAGATAACTCTTTATGGCTCAGCATCAAGCTTCCATATTTATGTAATTTATGACTGTTAAATGTGCTGCCTAACAGAATCTTCTTAGAATTTAACCTTACTTTGAAATTTTGTTTTTAACTTTAGGCATTTATAACCCATGAAATATAGGTTAGTAAATAAAAGTTTTAAAAACAGATAAAATTTCAAAATCATTAGATGTATCTGTGTTTATTCACAGTTCAGTTATTTTCCCACCAAAGCTCAAATGAGCAATTTTTGCAGACCTATCTTTAATGGTGACTTTGATTGGAATTCTTAATTTGTTTTTAACTTTTTGATTTTTCAGTCCTAATATGTTTGAGATTATTAAGAAAGAAAAGGCATTGTTTAAGTGGTTTTTTGAATTTCTTTAGTTCTAGTAATTGCTTTTTAGTTCTTTTTATAGCAGCAAAGCACTTTATATAAAGTTTCTGTATTCAAGCTGATGGCCTAAATTCTATATTGTTTGTAACTTATTTCTAATAAAATGTAATTGTAAATAATTTTAATTTTATTGGTCAACCATGATAATTTTAAAAAAAGTCAATGGATCACTTTATTAGTTATATCTAAAGTGTTAAAGCATTCATGATATTGAGTTCATGCAAAAAGGCATAAATTGAGATGATATTTTATGATTCGTGTTTTTATATGTACAGTTGAGTATATGTCTTAGGTGAATTGGCGTTTTGCAGGCTTAGGGTCATTTTTTAATTTATGCCTTGATTTTTGTTTATTCATCCATTTATTTATTTATTTGCTGATTGACTGGGGAATATATCCAACAGAACTTAAGGTAGGTCGCGGGTTTACTGCTTAAAAATTCTTAAGAGAAAACATATCCTGAAAATTTGATATAATGTTCCCTAGAATTTTTAGCATTTTATCTGTAATTTTTATTAAATTTGTCTTCTTAGTTTTAATGCTGTATTACTGTAAACGCGGTATAGTTTTTAGTACCATTTTTACGCTTTACTATTGAAATATATAGAAAAATGACGTTTTGAACCAATTTTGCGGAAAGAGTTTCTTTAAAAAAGGTTGGGTGACTTTTTAAAGACGTAGACGAATTAGTTAGGAATTTCAAAATATCCAGATGAGGTAAAATTAAAACTATAGAAATAAAATAAAAATCAATATGTCTTCTCGCTTTTTCTTTTTTTTTTTTGTTTTTTTTTTTTTTTTGTTTTTTTTTTTTTGCTAAGTAATTTCAAAGTTTGCTTTTATATTGCCAAAATGTTGCGTTTATAGCGTTATTTATGACTACAACGTTATGTGTTGAACGTAATCACGTTTACATACGAATATAAATATCTTTTCATTTGGAATATGCAAGATCTAAAAGGTGATATAGTTGCAAAATGTAATTTTATTCATCATTTCACTTATTGCAGAAACATGTTAGGATGACCAGCAACTTATTTACACTAGTATTGTGAAATTCATATTCTGCCCACAAAGTCAGAATGAACGGTATATTAAACATTTCTCGTTTATTAGAATTAACATGCAGCGACAACACGGCGAGTGATAAAATATTAATTCATGTATTTTTATGATGTTCATGTTCGGTAAGATTTCAGGCATAACACATGAATTTGATCAATTCATTCTAAAACGGCGAAGAAAAAACATCCCAATACTGAGAAAAAAAGGGGGGGGGAGTGTTATCGGCAATGTTCTTTCCATATTAGTCGCAAGCTGGTATATAGCCCAAACTCTGAAACATTTCTTAATTTCGAATTCTCTCAATCAAATTTCCATACGCAAAATGTAAAACACTTGCATTTAGCTTATACACAGAGAGATTTTCTTATATAGAAAAAAATGTACTTGATACTTGTAAATTGTTTACAGTTTCATATAGGTCTGATAGTCCCCGGGGTTGTTTGTTTTAATTTATTTTAAAATGCATTTCACAATTTGTTAGCCTGCATATACTAGTACATAGCGACTACATGAGATTCAAATACAAAATAATCAAATAATAATTATGATGATTGAAATAATAATAATAATAAATAACAGGAAATACATGTACTGTAATTAAATTTCATCCGTTTTTAGTGTTGAGGATTGATTCCATCCTGAAAAAGTTTCGCCCCGGCAAACATGGTATAATACGCACTTCCCTTTCAGGTGCAAATTACGTGCGAACATAAAACCCTTTAAGTTTTTGGCTAAGAAATTTAAGATAATTTTCTTTTTGCATACCATAACTTTTATGCTGACTCATTTTGATTGACTTTTAGCAGTTTAGTAACACTTTCAATATAAACTATTTCTCTCATTTGGTATCGTATTTAGTTTGTTCTAAGACATTAATACACATAATCACATCGATCAGAATTCAGAAAATCCTTTAATAATACCCGATCTTAGTTCATACATGTGCGAGGTTTACGTACAATAGCATGCACTTTGAATTAATCTAATTGATTCGTACCTGTAGACTATTTATGAAGTTATTTTCAGAGAATTTTACAGGAAACAACGCAACGTCGCCTTTGTGACGTAACTGACGTCATAATCAAATGTGCACAAAACAACCGCTCGAATCGTCGAAGTTGTGTACCAAAATTGATGACAAAAACAAACCCGCGACCTACCTTAACATCCTGTCTTGATGTTGATTTTAATATACAAGCAATGTTAACAATTGTGAAACAAAATCATTAAGTATAAAGTAGAGCCTCTTTGTAGCTGCCATACTTACTCTTCCATTGATTCCATATTGTCTGTAATGATTTCCCATTTTCTGAGTTGGAATTTTCACCCAAGTTCAATCTGTTGTTATCAGATCTATAGGTATTTTCTTCGCATTTTAGGGAAACACAAGTGGAATCATTATGCGAAAAAACACATAGAAAAATACGTGCCATACGTCTGTTTACAAACACCCGACATTTTGGATCATCACTGCATTTGTCAACAATATCAAAGAACTTCTTCGTTTTTCCTGGGTACAAAAAAGAAGTATCAAATTTCGTTTGTTTGTGGAACTTATTGGGCATGGTGTGACATTTTAAGGTGAAGTACATGATATATAAATAATGTGTAGCATACCATTAGCAGCAAGTGCAGAGACTTTCTTAATCACAACTGTAAGAACGTCAAGCTTTTCCAGTCCCAAATTGCTGGCAAATTAGTATATAATAACTTTATCAAATGGTTGTAATTAACTTAAATGAAATTATATTTTTAGAGAAAATGAGATTCTTATATAAAATTTCAATGTGGAATATGGTTCAATATTGAATTAAAAAAAGAAATCAGTGATTTTATAATATTTAAAATGTAATATTCTGGAATCTAACTGTCTGGAATGGACTCCACTCTTCATGACTGAGAAGGAACAAACATCATTGTTAGGGATCTTACCTGCAGAAAATCAATCCGAGTGCAAAAAAATGACCAAGATATTCAAAAAAGTCATGATAGATGCAAATTTTATCATTTTGAAAATAATTACAATAACAACTCACAGAGCTTAAGGAATCCTACCTCTTTGAGAAGCGATTTCAGCCGTAGTCAATGTTTCTATAATTTCAATCTTTTTGTCATCATTGGACGACTGTACATTTTCCATTGCATATTTACAATATGTTACTTTTGACTTGTTTTCCAATAATTTAACCTTGCATTTAATGTAAATGCACTGGCAAGTATTTCCTTTGACACTGCAAATGCATAGTTGTTGTAGACAATTGTTGTATTTTCCTTTGACTTGACAGGATTTGTTCTCGATGCAATTCCATTCATCTGATTTCCATTCTGTTTAAAACATACAACTTAGAATATATTGGTACTTATCCACATCCCCCACACACTTGATTTTCTATAACGCAGGGGCCCCTTTTTACAAGAACTTACAACTAAGACCAACATTTAATTCTGCTTATAACTTTCTAAATTGCATTGAATTAAAAATGGTTTTATTATTTTAAAAGGGAATGTAGTTAGATATTTTTATTCTGGCAATTTTGAACAGAATCATTAATTTTGCAAAATTTTACAATTAACAAAAATTTTTGGTCTTAGTCGCAAGTTCTTTTGTAAAACGGGTTACTATATCATGAATTTTGTGTGGATTCCCAGTGCCTGTAGAGAATAATTTGCAAGTAACTAAAATAAAAGAGTGTAAAAATGATTCTCTACAGACAGAGAAACCTAGGAAAACTTGCACTCTTCCAAGAAAAACGTTTTTTTTTTTTCAAAAATCTTTGTCTTAAAGGAGCAATAGATTAAAATCTAACACTTACATAGAACATTAAGTTCCCATGATTTTATCGAGAAACAATTTTAGTGTTGCACTGATTAAGCATTTAAATCTATTTTGCATGAAAAAGAATATTGGAATACAATATGGCGTGGTGCCTTTTGTTCGTCTTCTTAGCTTTGAAATGATAACAACAACCTCCCGAAGGAGCACACGGCGGGTGTGACCGGTCGGCAGGGTATGATCACTCTTCCATGGGACCTGATCCCATCTCTAAATTTTGAGGTCTGTGTTTGCTCTGCTCCAAATTTATATCGTTTCATTGGACTTTCGAGATTGGATACTGTTCGTTATCTTCAAATTTCATTCCTAAGAAATAATGATCTTTTTTGATGATAAAAAATTATAAATATTGTAGATAAACAATGAATTATAGAGTCTTCCTTTTTCTGACTAATGCCATAATTAAGTTACCAAGCATTGGGTATAACGGGTCAAATAAAGTGTTTGTTAAATGCAATTGCAACAGAAAAATGTCCTGTAATCTGATGTACGGATTTTTTTTAGACAACAATCAATACATAAAAAGAAAAACGAAAAATTCATATTTGCTCACCAGTTACCATTGTTCTAATTGACTGTCAGATTTAAAGCAGTAACATTGACTTTCATTTCTACAATATATGATATTTTTCTCTCTTGCACTTACTTCTGATTTATAATATTTATTTAACCGTAAATTACGCTGTATAATTTTAAACACACCTAGCGTAGATGTTATGACAGACACACAAAACCAGACCCGTTGGGTTCTTTGAGAACCTTTCATTTTCCAATAGTCTCAAATTTAAAGGTTAACATGAGGACCATGCACCTAACATTCATAAAGATTTCAAGGAAACAAAAGACATGGGAAAGAAATTTTCAATACTTGGCATTAATAAAAAACAATTATTTTGATAATGTTTCAAATTCATTTTCTACAAATGACATGGGCAAAAAGACTTTATAAGAACCTCTTTTCTGTTTGTTTTGTTAATTGTGATTAAACAGAAACTTACCGTATCTGGGATTGCTCCAGGAATCAGCAATAGAAATTGAGTACGTTGACTGGAATATGAAATTGTCAATTACACAACTAAATCTGAAATTTAAAAAAAACCTAATCATCAATTTTGAAGGAAAAGATGTAAAGATTAATTTAAAACGTGTATTTGTCCTAATTGGCCTTGCTATCCTGATCTATTTCTTCGAGGTCAAAGACATGATCGATTTTGCAAGAGCATTCTTAAATATTTTTGAAGATATATTTTTTTCAGTTTTTCAGTCCTGGAATATTTTTTGTATCTTGATTTAAAACAAATTTTTATATCATATATGAAATTGATCCTTAAGGAAATTAAATCTGCTTCAAATACGACGTACACACCACATATAATGTTTAATAACTTGTATATAAAGATCACTTTAAAAGGCACTTAATTGTTTAATAATTGAGACTTCCTTCAAGTAAGTAAAAACGAATCTATACAGACCCATGTAAAGTTTTCAAAGTCATTAATAATTTCTATTTTTACTCTTGAGAGATACTTGTAATTTGAACAATGCTAATCTGCATTGAATTTTGAATAAAAGTACTTACAATTTTGACCAGGAAATGATACTGAGTTTATGGAATAACGCACACAAAAACAAATATGTTTGCTAATAATATACAATTCAATTTGCTTTTTAATGTAGTCTATAGCACTTTTGTATTATGTTTATTTATGGTGAAATTTAAAATATTTAAAGTAGTCTTTGATAAGCGGCCTTTTAATTATCATATCTTAGTGTTGATAAAGCCATTAGCTATTTTGAAAGATGGTTTTGTAGGACAATTCTTTACATAAGCAAAACGTATACCATATTTAATTATACTACACATAGTACAAGAAAAACCCATAGATCATTATGCAAGGCATAAATTTAACAAAATACCTTTCCTTAGGGTGCTCGTCAACGGTGTCATTTTGAGATGTATCATTTTCCTGACGGGAGACAACGGGCACGACACACAAAAATATGAAAAACTCTAAAAACCCCACTGAAATTAATAAAGAAAGTGTAATTGAATTTTGCGTCTAGATAATGAACTTACACTAGTATATTCAATAAAATTGTGTCTAACATTTTTTCTTTATTTTCCACTTAGTTCTAGAACAAAAATTGTTCACGAAAGTGCTTTAAAAAGACAATTGACCTTTACAACCTACTTGTTAAGAGTTTTGTTGTAGCAATCCTCATTTGTTCAGACTAGGAGGAAGTATTTCAACCAGGATGCTATTACAAAACTGTTCCATTTTTAGTAAAGTTTGATACAAAATGTTACCCTTATGAGAATAAAAATTATCGATATGCTCTAACATTTTAAAAACTGTTCGGTCAATGTTACATTCGAGATTATCATATTGATTATCCTAATCAAAACATATTTGTCGGATTTTACCTATGTCAGAGTAGTAGTATATATATTCGAATACATTATTTGAATTTATAGAGACACACCCATATAATGCATGTATTCGTTCCAAGTTCATGGAGTTAGTTTTTTTAAATGACAAACAAGTTGATGAAACAAGAATATCAGCAGTCTCGTTTAAAGTCATCATTTCGTAAGTTCTATGGTCGATACAATGACCTTGTCAGCAAATACAATTTATCATTAAGTCAAATGCTGACTGACTTTTTTCATACTAATTGTTAGGCCATTATTTACACACTGAATTGTCGACGTTTTTTTCGTTATTTCCCATCATGACAAGGAGCACACGACGGGTGTGACCGGTCGGCATGGGATGTTCACTCCTCCATAGCACCTGATCCCACCTCTGATGTTTTAGAGGTACGTGTTTGCTCTGCTCCAAAATTTGTATTGTTTAATGGACTTCTGAACTTGAATACTGTTCGTTATCTCCATACATTTAATTTTAAACAACCTTTTATTGCAACTATATTTTCTACAACTTAATCGTTCCTCTCTTTAAATCTTACAATATATCATGCAAATTGGAGAAAAACAATTATAGTATTGTTACAAGTGAAAAGTGATTAAAACATATCAACAAGAGAATCTACATATTTCCTCAATAAATTTATGAACAGCAGCAAAGATACTGAATTTTTTTTCTGTAAAGGCAAATTTGCATCATCATATAATAAAATTTTTTTTTTTATTTTACAGTAAGCAACAACTAAATATGCCTTAGACAAACTTTTTGAAAAAAAAGAAGCCTTAATCATTCGTTCGTTTGCATGATTAACACTGTTAGAAAGACGTTAATATTCAGAGACAATATATTTTCCAGTAAGACTACTTGTGAAAGAAGTGTTAGTTACGAAAATGTCACAGGTTTTACAGTTTTTGGCAGAACATTTTGAAATAGAAGACATGGGATGGGAAAAAGAATCTTCAAATATGTCTCTCATAGAAACTTTACATTCTTTCAAATGTTTGCATGAACTATCGGTTTTATACCAAAACTGGAAATCTAAAGACTGCACATATGACATATGTTTAATATGCCTGAGGATT